GACCCTACAGGACTAAGGCTGGACCCTACAGGACTAAGGCTGAAACCTGCAGGACTAAGGCTGGACCCTGCAGGACGAAGGCTGAACCCTGCAGGACGAAGGCTGAACCCTACAGGACGAAGGCTGGACCCTACAGGACTAAGGCCGAACCCTGCAGGACGAAGGCTGAACCCTGCAGGACGAAGGCTGAACCCTGCAGGACGAAGGCTGGACCCTACAGGACTAAGGCTGAACCCTGCAGGACTAAGGCTGAACCCTGCAGGACGAAGGCTGAACCCTGCAGGACGAAGGCTGAACCCTGCAGGACGAAGGCTGAACCCTGCAGGACGAAGGCTGAACCCTACAGGACGAAGGCTGGACCCTGCAGGACTAAGGCTGAACCCTGCAGGACGAAGGCTGAACCCTGCAGGACGAAGGCTGGACCCTACAGGACGAAGGCTGGACCCTACAGGACGAAGGCTGAACCCTGCAGGACGAAGGCTGGACCCTACAGGACGAAGGCTGAACCCTGCAGGACTAAGGCTGGACCCTGCAGGACGAAGGCTGAACCCTGCAGGACGAAGGCTGAACCCTGCAGGACGAAGGCTGGACCCTACAGGACGAAGGCTGGACCCTGCAGGACGAAGGCTGAACCCTACAGGACGAAGGCTGAACCCTACAGGACGAAGGCTGAACCCTGCAGGACTAAGGCTGGACCCTGCAGGACGAAGGCTGGACCCTGCAGGACGAAGGCTGAACCCTGCAGGACGAAGGCTGGACCCTACAGGACGAAGGCTGGACCCTGCAGGACGAAGGCTGGACCCTGCAGGACGAAGGCTGAACCCTGCAGGACGAAGGCTGGACCCTACAGGACGAAGGCTGGACCCTGCAGGACGAAGGCTGGACCCTACAGGACGAAGGCTGGACCCTGCAGGACGAAGGCTGGACCCTACAGGACGAAGGCTGAACCCTGCAGGACGAAGGCTGGACCCTGCAGGACGAAGGCTGAACCCTGCAGGACGAAGGCTGAACCCTGCAGGACGAAGGCTGGACCCTGCAGGACGAAGGCTGGACCCTGCAGGACGAAGGCTGGACCCTGCAGGACGAAGGCTGGACCCTGCAGGACGAAGGCTGAACCCTGCAGGACGAAGGCTGGACCCTACAGGACGAAGGCTGAACCCTGCAGGACGAAGGCTGGACCCTGCAGGACGAAGGCTGAACCCTGCAGGACGAAGGCTGGACCCTACAGGACGAAGGCTGGACCCTGCAGGACGAAGGCTGGACCCTGCAGGACTAAGGCTGAACCCTGCAGGACTAAGGCTGAACCCTGCAGGACGAAGGCTGAACCCTGCAGGACTTTTGGATTTATGCCAAATTTTGAAGTGTGGTCTGTGCTATGTTATTCCACGCCACAATGCAAGAGGGACAATCAGGAACTAGTTGTGGGTCTAGATACGGCCGAGGTGGTGATGAAGTGGGGGCAAGTTTGTGTGACAACGGAGGGAGATGAGGGCGAAAAAGAGCGGGGATCCAGGTGGAAAAAAGGGTCCCAGTGTTCTCGCGCACCTCGCTCTTCTAGCTGGTCGCTCTTCACGAGTTGTTTTCCACAATGGCGATCATACATGTGTTAACGTGTTCAGATGTTTCGTTACAAAAGCACAGGCCAGAACCAAATAAGGGAACATCCCCAAGTTTACGTCAACTCTGGGATTCATTTGGATTCGCCCGTTTTATGGTGGAAGTTTAGAATTGTGAGATTTGCAGAGAAAGCAGGTATCGATGGGGTTTGAACTTCTCTGTACATCCATTTCATTCAGATGGAAACTTGTCCCTGAGTTGGAGTTGCTGCGGAGCCTCATTAGTTTTTGGTGGTGGGTCTTCCTGAAAGGGGAACAGATGCGTTCTGCTCAGTGTCACATTTCAGTTTAGCTTAAGAACAGCTAAAGTCTGCGTGCAGCAGGTAAGAAGCCTGTTGCTTCTGATCTTCTCTCCAAACAAATTTTGTCGATTGGAATATTCACACAGATAGACTAGATCCACTGGTTTGTGCATTTGGAGGTAAAAGGATGGCAGATATCAGTCCTCATTAAAGATTGATGCCAAAAGGCCTCTGTTTCACTATGCATGCAGCCATCTGCATTATGCATTCTGCTCGCTTTGTTCACATGAAGATGGGATCCTAACATTTTATTAATGTTCTAAGTCTGTTTCGATTTTTACAGTTCTCAACATATTCTCTATTTTGCACAAGATTCCTAATTGTAGGAAAGACTTCCTTGTTTCCAATGTGCTGCAGTTTGCATGGCGGTTTTCCCTGGAAAGGATCATTCCTCTCTGTTGCTCTGTTCCTTTAACAGGTTGGCACTCATATAGATCTAGCTCCCCTCCCTCTAATCTCCGCCTCCCTTCCAAATCTTATGGAGCGGCTCACTCCTCCTAACCAGCATGTTTCTCCTCTACATCCATCAGGCAGTGTGGGAAAATGTTCTGTTTCTAAGCTGAGACAAATTTCTTTGGGTCGTTGCTGTTCAGCTCCTTGAAACTTTCCCAGAACTAAAGTAAAGAGTATATTTGGCGTCAGCCTCCTGTCTGGTGATCGTTCGGTTTATAACCTTGTTGTGAACTTAGGGAGGACGTTTTGTCCTGCCTTCCTGTTGTCGCTGCCATCAGGTCCGCCCAGCCAAGGCTCGGATCTCCCTCCCACAGAGAGCTGCAGTGCTGAGTGCGGATCTCTCTCAATCCATTTCCCTACCTTTGAAAGTGAAACGGGGCAGATTGCTTAAGCCTGCCCTGCAGTAAACTATTAGATTCAGTGAAATATACAGGTTTATGTCTGGGCTGTAAAGCATAACATTTGCAGTTCTGTTAATCCAGGACTGCATGTAAAGATGACGGGGACCTTTTCAATTCTCTGAATCAGGATTTCTCATGCAGCTGAAGGTTTTTTAAAAGCAAAATCTACAGCTGAAGTTCACTTCTCCTCTGCAGGAATGTAGGAAGTGAGCAGCTCTGTAATTAGCCACGGGCCTCCGTATCGAAAGCCTCTCATTGGCCAGCAGTGGGTGGATATCGGTCGCTCTGACCAATAGCAGCACTTTCCCTCCTCCTTGAGTGATCCAGCCTCTGTGCCAATAGCTGGAAGAGCTGGACGGGAGAAAAGGGAGAATGGAAGAAAATGATCACCCCCACCCCCTGCTACTGTCAGGAACGCTGTCTGCACCACAGGGCAAAGAAAATCAGCAGTCTTCAGCAGCCCATCCATGCATAGAATCTCTAAAAGCGTGTGTACGCGTCCTTTATGAGGGGAATCATGTGAGCTTGAATTAGATGTATTCCTTCCACTGTTCTCTATGATAGCAGGTGTGAAGATGGTCTGGAAGGCCATATGACAGGGTTCCCGCGGGTCCTTAAAAAGATATTCCGTTAGGTTATATCCAAGTAACGTCTTCTTATGGGCAACGACTTAAAGGCACAAACTAAACTGTTCATAATTTATTCTTTATGGTACGCCAGCATTCATAACATGTAGGCGAATCACTGTTCCCCAGACATCCGAGGTTATATGTTTTATATTTATGTATTTTAAAAACAAAGCAGCGCGTGTATGACGTCATCCGCGCATGCGCACTGGAATCGTAACAGGAAGCCTGGGCCACATTCTACTAATTCGGCTAGCTAATCTGAATCGTTCAATTCCATTTTGAGAGCGAGATCATCTGTGGTAGTACAGGGTTCCCGCGGGTCCTTAAAAAGTCTTAAAAGGCATTGAATTCTTCAAAATAAAATTAAGGCCTTAATTGGTATTAAAATGTCTTAAATCAGTCTTTTGTAGGTCTTAATTTTAAAAACATCATACATAGGATTATTTTTATTACGATTTATTTTTGTAATCCAAATAAAACATTAAAAACTTACCTTTTTTTTTTTTATAAAAAAAAAAAAAACGGCTCGCCATTATTGGTTCCGTCCCGATAGCGGAACCAATAAAAGCGTTGTTGCGGCCGGGACATTTGGGAGATGCGCCATTAACTTTTTGTCTGGAAAATACGAGCAAGTGTAAATGTAACCAAAACTGTCTCCAGCCAAGAGTTTTCTCCATGGCTAAAACCAGGGAACATATTTGAGGCTCAGAGGATTTTGTGCAAGAAGTCATTCAAGCTCAGAACGATGGGAATTAAGGCAGTGGAGTCGCACATGCGAAGCACAAAGCGTCAAAATCGAGTTACTGAGAAACAGCCGGTATTTCTCAGTTTAGTTCCACCCTTGTCTCTGCAACGCCTCCACTTATCACCAAATCAAACATACTAAGAAAACCATACAAAGAAAAATAGCTGCAAAAAAGACTTAGCACTGGTTATGTTGTGGCTTTAAAACTGATTTGTTTTGTTCCCTGCTAAAACAAAGTTTGTGAATTCAGTTAAATAATTGTTAAAATATATCTGTCATTTGTGTGTTTTTAGCTTTCTTCCTGTATGGGAAGCTTTTCAACATTTGAAACATTAGTGCAGTGGTTTATGTTATAATAAACCTTTGGGTTAAGTTGTCGCAAGCAGGTTTTTCTTGTGTTTCTTGTGAATTTGGTCTTAAATTTTTTTTTGAATTGGCATTAAAAAGTCTTGACTTTAACTTGCCTTATGCTGTAGGAACCCTGTATGAGATAACTTATCTTTTGGAGTGCTTGTTGTCTGACGCTCCAGAGCTCATCATGTAAGCATGACTGTCAGCCCCCTCATGAAGATGCAGGAATGTCCAATAATGCACGGCGGTTTACTGTGGGAGCAATCACTGAAACCACACGGGGGGGGGAGCTAATCATTCATAACTTTATACCAGAGACGCTGTGGGTTGGACAGGTTTTATTGTAATAAAATAACTGCAAATCCAGTTATTAAACATAAAACCCCACCTGTCTGCACTGTGCTTCAGTTAAAGGTTCTGCTTTGTGGAAGTTTTAGGTTTTTTTAAAGCTAATAATGATGCTTTCTTCAGACCTTCACTCAGCGCTTTGCTCCGTTTTCTAGGAGTTTGCTGCTCTGACGAAGGAAGTGAACATCTACCGAGAGCAGCTTCTGGAAAAGGAGGAGGAGATCGCAGAGCTGAAGGCAGAGAGGAACAACACCCGGGTGAGCGGCGTGTAGACATACCTGGCTAATTCCTGCCTCTTTCTGTTTTGACTGGAGCTGGTTGTCATAACAGCGGTTCACCGTCAGCCTCTGTCTTCTAATCCAAAGCATTGTCCAAAGCCCTCCATGTGGAAAGCTGCTTAGTCATCAGAAATTTTCCACTACACACAACACATCTGACAGCATCTAACTGCTCTGTTGATGCACATGTGGTTCCCAGTAGAAGATGCAAACGCTGACTTGTTAATGCTCTGATGTGTGTGCAGCTGCTGTTGGAGCACTTGGAGTGCCTGGTGTCTCGTCACGAGCGCAGTCTGAGGATGACTGTGGTGAAGAGGCAGGCTCAGTCTCCTGCAGGCGTCTCCAGTGAGGTGGAGGTCCTGAAAGCGCTTAAGTCACTTTTTGAACACCACAAAGCCCTCGATGAGAAGGTAAAAAATAATGTTTGGAGTGTTGGAAATAAAAGAATTATGAGAAATCCAAAGATAAATGCTGATGAAATGGAGTCACACAGGGTTCATTTGTTTTTTTAAACAGGTGAGAGAAAGACTCCGCGTTGCTTTAGAGCGATGCAGTGCATTGGAGGAGCAGCTCGCCATCTCTCACAAAGAAGTAAGAAACACATCCTGAAGAACTTCCATAGGAAGAAGGTTAAAGTTTTAAGATGTTTGATGCATTTCTGGGGGTTAAACTTGGTCCAAATATTCAGGTTTTAGTCCTGAATGGAACGGTTTAGGTAAAATAAGAAGTTGAGTGTTTCTGCAGGTTAGCAGTAAAACACAGGAAGGTCCAGATGTTGATTGAAAAGCCCAGAGGACCTCAGATATTGACACACTCACACAGACCCAGTCCAGCTCGGATTGTTCTGTTAAAACCAAAGTCTCAATTTGGTTTGGAAAGGGAAGAACGGTGGAGACTCTATCATGGTTTGGGATCCATTTTTTATTCATTAGTAGGGAGATATAAAAAAAAAAAAAACTCAGATAAACCAAACGGCAACAAAACTGTTGAGATTAAAATTCTCCAGCGAATGATCCGCCTGATGGTGACACCAAGCCAAACGCTTCGTTTTTGACCCAGAACTTTTCTCCCTGAGCTTTAGAACATCTCCAGGCTGGAAGTCAAGTAGCAGAACAACAAAGGATCAGTTGATGTGAAAACCAATGATAGAAGCAGAGTTTTTTCATTAACATTAAGCTAGATTCCTACTCTACGTAGAACAAAGATGGCCGCTCGTGTTCCCGAATAGGGAGGGGCTGCAGCTCAGAGAGCAGAATTCATGAGGATTACTCTGACAGACATGATTCAAAATGCAAGATTGGGCCTGATTTAGATGAAAGAACCTCTTTAGTAGCCTCTTCCCAGCTGCAGCAGATGAAGCTTTTGTCAGGAGTGAACTGGGTCATCAACTGGTTTCCTCTGGATCCCTGAACTGAACAGAATCCAGTAAGAGCAGCAGGAATCCTCAAAGCGTTTTAAACCTGGAAAACCAGCAGCATCAGCATTTCATGAAGAGTTCAGGTGAAGCATGAAGGTCCGTTACTAATAGAAATCTGCACCCAGTGTTTCCGCCCAATATGCGCCATAAGGAGATGTCTGACTGTGGTTCCTGAAAGCTTTTAGCAGAATCAGACCCTTTGAACCCAAACGGGCCGGTACTGCCCAACGAGCCGTCGGCACTCAGCTGCTCTTGGTGTTTCCCACAGCTGTCTTACCTCAGGGAGCAGAGCAGCCAGAAGAGAGGCCTGGCAGATGGAACCAGCGAGGTCAACCACACGTCTGAAAACCCCCCCAGCACCAACGGCAAGGTGAGGAGGCCTGCTGGTCAAAGGATTTGATTGGTTTTTCAGATGATCCATGGATGGAGAAGATAGATGATTGGTTGACTTGTTGCTGATACCACAGCGCTCCTCGGATGGCTCACTGAGTCAGGAAGATGAGTCCGGAACCGGGTTTGGAAAGGTGGGGGAGCTCCAGGAGGTAGTGGACCGTCAGACGGCTGATCTGGGCCAAATGAAGGAACGCATGGCTGCCATGGTATCACGCATCAGTGAGCTGGAGGAGGACCTGGACACGGCCAGAAAGGACCTGATCAAGTCCGAGGAGATGAACACCAGGCTGCAGCGGGACCTCAGAGAGGTGAGAGCGACGGATCAGAACAGAACCTTGCCTGCTGCATGTGTGCGGGTCCCTGACGCTGCCGTTTGTCCCCATAGTCGATGGCTCAGAAGGACGACATGGAGGAGAGGATCACCACTCTGGAGAAACGCTACCTGGCCGCTCAGCGGGAGGCCACGTCCGTCCATGACCTGAACGACAAACTGGAGAACGAGGTGGCCAACAAGGAGTCCCTCTACAGACAGGTAGGTCTGGCTTTGGATAAAATCCGTTGGGTTTGTTGGATGGAAGCTTCCTTCAGATGTCTGCACCCTTTGACTTCCCACCGCTTCAGGACTGAATGAAAACAGTGGTTGGTTTGTGTTCACGCAGTCACTGTGAGAGGAGACGTCTTTCTCCTCTTTTCTTCTGCTTTTTGTCTGTTTTTGTGTCGCTGTGAATGCTCTGTTCTTCCCTTCCTGCCCACCCATCTCTGCATCCCGTCTCCCTTTGTCTCCGTCTGCCTGTCAGCCCTTTTCTTTTCATTCCTTTCACTCCGTGGAGTCGACTGCTGAGCCTGTAGCATCACACAGACAGACCAGTGGCCATTATGTTTGCTAATGACTTCATTCCTCTCTCAGTCCGAGGAGAGAAACCGGCAGCTGCAGGAGAAGCTGGAGCTGGCCGAGCAGAAGCTGCAGCAGACCATCCGCAAAGCAGAGACTCTGCCTGAGGTGGAAGCTGAGTTGGCCCAGAGGGTCGCCGCCCTCACAAAGGTACACAAAAACAAGAGAAGCCTTAAAAATAACGAGAATTCAACTTGTTAATGTTTAGTTTAAAATGAAGACCAGAACCTTTCTTTAAATCTCCAACAGAAGAAGGAGCTCCTCCTGATCAGTCATTGAATTCAGAGCCACACATTCAAAAATATGAGCATCTCTGAGTTCCCTTTACTGCTCAGCTGCCCTCTGCTAATAGATGTGGATATTTTCCCATTGATCCCATTCAGAGCAAACTTCTGCAGCTTCATCTAGTTGATCCTTTTGGTTTCTTATCATGCTGGGAGTTCCAGCAGCCAATAGAGTCTCTTCTTGATCAGGATTGATGAAAAAAGATGTTGAATCTGACTACATCTCAGATTTTAAACTTAAAACATGAATCAGATGTTGAATCCTCATCCAAATAATAAAAAAAACTCTCAGTAAAGCTCAGAACTTCCTGGATAGTCAAACTTCAGACAAATCCATTTAAAATAATGATTAAATCTGTAATCTTTAAGCAGAATGTTTGCTTAATGAATTAAGACATTAGGCATGAAGCAGAGAAGGAAGAGGGACTCATGTTTAAACATGACCCAGAACCATGATTGGTGCCTGTCCAGGATTTAGCTGTAAGATAAAAGAGATGTTTGGTCTATTAGTTTAGTAGAATAATAAAAAAGCTCAGCTTTAGCCTGGATGGAGGGAGTTTCCATAAACATGTGCATCATATAACCATCAATATTGTCACAGAGTACGAAGCCGTTGTCAGCGGAAATCTATTTATAGAAGCTGCTCCTGTTTTCATCCATTTATAGTCGAACCTCTGCTGAAAAACTCGGCACCTTATTGGTGTGGGATCAGGCACAGAGTCAGCATTTCAGCTTAGGATTCCAATCTAAAACAGTTTGTGTGGGATTTATTAGAGCAGATAAAGCATTAGACGACAGTCTGTCAGCACGACTTGCAGGCAGAAGAAATGGACAATTCTGGTGTCAATCTGTCCACAATTGTGATGAAGCTAAGTTTAGGCTCTGATGGAGTTAAAATACCAGTTGATGAAATGATGCATTATAACCTCTTACATTTCTTTTCAATTATAAATCTATGTTTAGTTAAAGGGGAATATATATATATATTTTTTTTTACATTGGGCCCTTGATTTTACGTTATTACATCTTGTTCTACTCACCCATATAAGTTTTGTGTCATTTGGAGCCGTTCTGAAGATATTCCGTTAGGTTATATTCAAGTAACGTCTTCTTATGGGCAAAATACTTGAAGGCACAAACTAAACTGTTCATAATTTATTCTTTATGGTACGCCAGCATTCATAACATGTAGGCGAATCACTGTCTGCCAGACATCCGAGGTTATATGTTTTATATTTATGTATTTTAAAAACAAAGCGGCGCGTGTATAACGTCATCCGCGCATGCGCACGGGAATCGTAACAGGAAGCCTGGGCCACATTCTACTAATTCGGCTAGCTAATCTGAATTGTTCAATTCCATTTTGAGAACAAGATCATCTGTGGTAGTACAGGGTTCCCGCGGGTCCTTAAAAAGTCTTAAAAGGCATTGAATTCTTCAAAATAAAACTAAGGCCTTAATTGGTATAAAAATGTCTTAAATCAGTCTTTCGTACGTCTTAATTTTTAAAACCTCATAAAAAGGATTATTTTTATTATGATTTATTTTTGTAATCTAAATAAAATGTTAAAATGTACCTTTTTTTTTTGTTATTTAAACAAAATAACGGCTCGCCATTATTGGTTCTGTCCGGATAGTGGAACCATTAAAAGCGTTGTTATGGCCGGGACATTTGGGAGATGTGCCATTAACTTTTTGTCTGGAAAATATGAGCAAGTGTAAATGTAACCAAAATTGTCTCCAGCCAAGAGTTTTCTCCATGGCTAAAACCAGGGAACATACATGAGGCTCAGTGGATTTTGTGCAAGAAGCGATTCAAGCTCGGAACGATGGGAATTAAGGCAGTGGAGTCGCACATGCGAAACACAAAAGCGTCAAAATGGAGTTACAGAGAAACAGCCGATATTTCTCAGTTTAGTTCCACCCTTGTCTCTGCAACGCCTCCACTTATCACCAAATCAAACATACTAAGAAAACCATACAAAGAAAAATAGCTGCAAAAAAGACTTAGCACTGGTTATGTTGGGGCTTTAAAACTGATTTGTTTTGTTCCCTGCTAAAACAAAGTTTTTGGATTCAGTTAAATAATTGTTAAAATATATCTGTCATTTGTGTGTTTCTAGCTTTCTTCCTGTATGGGAAGATTTTCAAAATGTGAAACATTAGTGCAGTGGTTTATGTTATAATAAACTTTTGGGTTAAGTTGTCACAAGCAGGTTTTTCTTGTGTTTCTCGTAAATTTGGTCTTAAATTTGTATTTCAAGTGGCATTAAAAAGTCTTAAAAAGTCTTGACTTTAACTTGCCTTATGCTGTAGGAACCCTGTAGTAGCACTAGACATCTTCCAGGCATGTCGGTAAAACTAGCAGGAGTTCAGAGGACCGGATGAATAAATGGTAGACGGTAGACGCTTTGTTTTTAAAACATATAGATTTAAAAAATATAACCCGGATGTCTGTGGGACAGTGATTCGCCTACATGTTATGAATGCTGGCGTACCATAAAGAATAAATTATGAACAGTTTAGTTTGTGCTTCAAGTATTTTGCCCATAGGAAGACGTTACTTGATATAACCTAACGGAATATCTTCAGAACGGCTCCAAATGACACTAAACTCATATGGGTGAGTAGAACAGGATGTAATATCGTAAAATCAAGGGGCCAATGTGAAAAAACAAAATTCCCCTTTAATAACGGCTCTGCATCTGAAAAGCAAAAGAAAAACTAAAGCGTTTGTTGGCAGTTAGCGGAGGTTCAAGTCAGATCTGCATGTGGTTTTAAACTGAAGTGGATCTGATGTGAGTTATGGGTCCATCAAATAAAGTCACTGTAGGATAATTAATTCAAACAGCTGTGCGTTAAAAACCAGCCATGGAAGTTTACAGATCGAGAAACAGATTAATTGATCAGTTTATTATTATGGATCAGTTCCCATTTATTTCTAGAACTTCTAACCACTTTTAGTTCTGATTATTTGATGTTTCCTCCATGCATATTAAACGGGTTGGGAGTTATTTCCCCATGTATAAAATCCTTTCACTCCAGCCTTAGCATTTCTCTTCCTCTCATCCGTCTCTGGTTTTTAGAAACCAAATGCCCCCCCGCCTGGTTTATTGCTCGATGTTTTTCTGTTTTCTCTTCAGCAGCCTTGATTATCAGTCCTGATGTTACATGTTTTCTCCTCTGTCTGTCCTGCTGTTGTTTGATGGACACGCTGCTGCCGCCTTCATGTTGAATCCTCAGAGTGCTCTGTGCAGCTCTGAGGCTCAGACCAAGGTAGACCAGTTCAACGGGCCGGTTCGAACATGGAGGGGGGGTTCTGTTTAACTGAACTTAACCAGGTTAGACTGGAGATACGTTAAGATCCCGATACCTCAATGATCACGTGACCCAAAGTTAGTCAAATGTCGAAAACAAGCCGATTCTCTCCCGGTTAAGTTCAGTCTTTAAATGAATATCTGGTGATTGGTTAATTCAAACAGAATTGGTTGTTCTGGTGCTTTCTGGGCTTCATTTGCTTTTATGTTCTCAGTTTGTGGGTTTAAAACACAGCAGGTTCGGATAGGATCCATCTTTAAATCACACTTTTAGTCTCGCTTTTAGTCCTGACTCGATAATACCGGGTCGATACTGGAAGCCCTGGCTGCTTTTTGAGTTCATAGGTTCAGCTGCTGTTTTATACGAAGGTTAAAGCTGGAATTCTGTTAGTTTTCTTTCTACGCTGACACGTCCATCCTTCAGAGGGACTTTAGCTTCCTGCCCACAAACATGAATCCTTCTGTAGGATCGATGCTGAATCATTGGGAGATAAGGCTCTGCTCTCTGCTCACTGTCAGATTAAACTGAAAACGTACTTTATGAATGGAAGGCATTTGGATTTTCTCCTTTGTTTCCAGGCGGAGGAACGCCACGGCAACGTGGAGGAGCGGCTGAGGCAGATGGAGGCTCAGCTGGAGGAGAAGAACCAGGAACTGCTCAGGGTAAGAAAAACCCCCAGACTCTTTCTTTAGTGTTGTTTGCGTTCAGGGCAGCTGTTGACACTCCAGCAGCAGACTGAGGAAACGTCGTGTAGCTCCAGTCTGCAAGCTGTGGTTAAAACTGGCCCTGCTTGTCAGTACCTGATCCCTTTCTGAAGCACGGTCCGTACCATCAGCTTATTTGTGCATCCAGATATACATCCGGGTCGCCTTTGATTATTTTGTAAATAAAAAAAACTAAATTACGTTTTTCGCTCCCCTAAACTATAATATGTTAAAGGTGTATAATGTTTTTCCTGAGAAAATAAATACATTCAAATCCTTTCTGTTTTATCACTCATCACGCTGTGTTCCTTTGCTGCGTTAACCACCATTGTTTTAAATTGGCAGTCATAACTCCGCCTCTAATGTCTGGAAACATCTGACTTTAGATCCACTCTGCTCTACGCAGTGACTCTCCATTTGAAGTAGGGCTGGGCGATATGACGATTTAAGACCGTGTTACGATCTACACCTCTGACGATCTGTCATTATTAAGAGACCGATTTATCAGGATCCACAGAACTGCAGTGCTGTTATATTTCTACCAAAAAAAAACTTTACAGCTAGAATATAATCCGAGGGTTTGACGTTCGTCCATTAGTTTAAAAATCAGTTAAAGTCAGTTTATGTCCTCTACGAACCGTAGAAGGAGTGGGATTTAATAAAATGTTAAACGTTTTGGATCCAAGCTACGAGTTGCCCAGCCGCACGTATTTTTCAAACACCGCTATTCCACGTATGTACGCCGAATGCAGAGAAAAAATTTCACGCACATCAGAGCCGTATTTGAGCTTAACCATACATTTCATCTGCAACTGGGAGCTATGTAATGCACCACTGCAGACGGCCTATTTTCCTGATCATATCAGCATAGATTGCACAGATTACATCTTGACTTGCACTATATTTGCAGTTCCATAATAGTTTTTGTTTCTAAAGACTTTAGAAATTATACAAATCTATTGTTTAATGTCATATTTTTTTTAAAACTCAAGTTAGTTTCTGTGTGCATTCTTTTTTCTTTTACTTTATTAGACCAGTCAAGATTTTAAAGTAATAAAACTGCACTAAGATACAGTTAGAATTTTTATTTATTTTGACTGTAGTTACTTGAAAAATGTAACTAATTTGTAATTGTTTTACTCAGGAGTTATTGCATTTTTATACTCTTTGGTTTGTTTACAATATAGAAATTAAAAAAATAAGTTTGTTAATAAACTTGTTCATTTATTTAATTTTTCTTTTCTTTGCATGTAATTAAAGTTATGTTGGTCGTATCTAAAAAAATCGTGATAAAACCGAGATCACAATAATATAATCAAAAAATCGTGATATTTTATTTTTGCCATAACGCCTAGCCCTAATTTGAAGCATCCTTGTCACTTCTTTTTTTGCTGTGATAGAAAGATAAACCCCGGCCACTTTTGTAAAGCCACTGGCTTTACAAAAAACTAGCGCCCTCTGCTGTTTGTTCATGTAGCGACCCCAGACAACTGTAGCCTCTATAATTGGTTAGAGCCTGATTATTAGAGGACCCCACATTTGTATATACTTTTAATGAAAAAAACCTAGTCTTATATTCCGGATAATACGGTATATCAACAAGACCCTCAGTGGTGTCTGTTTACCTTTAACACGCTGAGGGCGGAGCCAAACAGGACAGGATGCGACGCAGCATTATTCAAAAGATTCGATGCACGATAAGAAGAAATGTCGTTGATCAGTCCTTAGTCCTCTAAGAGGCACATTTATTTCATTATGAATATTACTTTCTTTATGGTGGTTGAAATGAACTCTGCATAGATGTTGATATTTCTATCCTGTGTGTGTTTTCTATGTCTGTATTTGCAGGCGAGGCAGCGAGAGAAGATGAACGAGGAGCACAACAGACGGCTCTCTGAGACGGTGGATAAGCTCCTGTCAGAGTCCAACGAGAGGCTGCAGCTTCACCTCAAGGAGAGGATGTCTGCTCTGGAGGACAAGGTGACCGTCTCTCTCTATCTGCTGGCAGCGAGGGATGCAGACCAGCTGCTAAGTATTGAAATCCTAACATATTTGTGCTTGATCGTCCCCATTTCTTAATCATCACCTGCTAAAAAACTGGAAAAGGTCTCATGAAATCCTGGAGGGCAAAATTGGAAAACATTGGAGAATTTATCTGGAAGAGAAATATAAATTATTTTATTTCTCCAGCACAAAAGAAATACCAAGACAAAATCCTGAAAGTGAAACTTTCTCTAACATTTAACACTTTATGAAGGGAAGAGGGATTGAAATGTTGACCTCAGAGGAGGAATATATTTTTAGGAGGATTGTGGTGGTAAGGAAGTTCTACCTAGCCGCGTGAGACTTTCAAGGTTTCACTCACAGATCAGTCTGGAGACTCTCTGTTAAAGGGATAGTTCGGGATTTTTGACATGAATCTGTATGGCATCCCCATCACCAGTGTCATGCAATCACACTGACTTACCCCTGGCAGCATCCTGTGAGCAGAGTTCTCGTCCAGCTTTGGTCAAGCCGAAAGTAGTCCGGCAGATTTGCTAGACCCAGCGAAATAAAATGTTTCTCTTCCCAAAAAATTATATGTTCAAAAGAGTGATATTTTTGCATCCCAAAAACATTGTAGTGGAAAAAGTCACACGTCGTTATCACTTGGTCCTATTTTCTCTCTGTTCGTATCAGTGCGCGCCGTCATTCTGACAGCGAGCTCAACTTTTCCAGCTCATTTCAGTGATGCAGACAGCAGCTGCTGCAACTCCGACATCCTCATCAATGGAAAGGTTCTGTATCTCGGGCATTACTAAATCCCACTCGTGGCAACAGTAGCATTCTACCTCTGTCTGCATTAATTCGCACTTGAAACAAGTGCACCATGATTTGTCGGCCACCCTGGATATCGCAGCTCCAGCTGTGGCTCCTGCGGCTTCAGCTTCCATCACTTCTCTGTCCACCCTCTCTCTTTCTGCCCGATCTAACTCCATTTGTCGAAGTTCACCGTCAGTGTACTCGGGTTCATAAAGATATCCCTTTGGCTCTAAGCGGAAGTCGATGTTTTCCTCGTCGCTCTCGTAGTCAGACATCCTCCCCAGTAGTAAACAATCGCGAATCAAACAGGTAGGCCCTAGCTGTCAGGTCATGGTGTCGCGCGCACTGATACGAACAGAGAGAAAATAGGACCAAGTGATAACGACGTGTGACTTTTTCCACTACAATGTTTTTGGGATGCAAAAATATCACTCTTTTGAACACATAATGTTTTGGGAAGAGAAACGTTTTATTTCCCTGGGTCTAGCAAACCTGCCGGACTACTTTCGGCTTGACCAAAGCTGGACGAGAACTCTGCTCACAGGATGCTGCCAGGGGTAAGTCAGTGTGATTGCATGACACTGGTGATGGGGATGCCATACAGATTCATGTCAAAAATCCCGAACTATCCCTTTAAAGAAAATTTGGAGCCGTTCACCAAACGAACGTCCAATCAGCGTTGGCTTTGAGGCGGGTTGAGGTGTGACGCAACGAGAAGTGCGACAGTTCAGTCTAAAGGACATGGTGGCTTCAGCCGATGAAGCTAGCGTTAGCGTGGCTATCGAGCAAGTTTTATCGGAATTACAGAGTATTTCTTCACTGAAAGAAGAGCAAAACACTGCTCTGGAGGCTTTTCTCAGAGGAAAAAATATTTGCACTTCTCCCGACTGGTTTCGGCAAGAGTTTGATCTATCAATTGGCTCCTCTTCGTCTTCGCTCTGTTAGTACGTCATATGCTTCGTTGATCTGATTGGTTTATTTGGCCCGTCTATCACCAACATAGGCCAATCAGCTAACCAGTATTTTCGCCCCTTCCCAAAATTACTTCTACAGAAGGTTTCCAGATGGATATGCGGAGCAAATCCATCTGGCGGAGTCAGGTTAGTTCTAACCAGGAATGGGCTGAAAACAGGAAGATTGGGTTAAAGCAATTCATAATATTTATAAGATGTAAAGCAAACTTTTTCCTTTAGATTAGAATCAAGCAAGTTTAGTTTAAAACTGTGTGCAATTTATATCGCCAGTGAGATCAGATTTTTGTCAGGTGCAGGGCTGAAAAAATTAATGGAATTAATCGATTATTGAAATAATCCTCAACTAATTTAGTAATTGATTAATTGTTAATTGGAGTATAGAGACTGTAAAACATGCCTTTAGCTGACAGAGCGACTCATTTAGAGCAGGAATCATACCCAGATTGTAAAAAAATATATAAACATTTTGCATATAATATAAAAAAAACAAAAAACTATTTTCTCCTGTCCATCTGCTCTATTTAAAACTCCTCAGGCAGAAACGTTTTAGTATAACGTGGTTTGATTTCGTGAAAAGTCTTCTTTAAGGAACTTTTCGCTATCTGATTATTAATCAATCAGAAAAAGTAATTGACAGATTAATCGATTCGCTAAATAATAAAGAACCTCATGTTTAAAGCGTTCTTTTTATCATTATTGAGTTTTTTTTTTCCTTTGGGTGTTTTTTTATCCTTTTAAAAGAAAAACTGCATGTTTATGGGAATGGACACTAATATATATGAATAAGGAAGAAGTGATGAAAGGAGTTGATTGGGATTTTTTATTGTCTCTTGAGGCTATGTTACTTAGAAAAAAATGTTACCAAAATGATTGTTGTCATCTAGTTGATGTATTGAGCTGTAGTGAACTTAGATTGGCTGACTGTGATTAGACTATTTGAGAAATGGTTTTCACAGATGGATAAAAAATGTCGAAATGCACTCAAAAAAAGGTGAGCTGGGGGAAAAAAAAAGAAGGAATTCTGGAGAGCTTGTTGATCAGGACCACCATGAAACGCTGCAGCACAGTCTGGCTCCCTAGAACAAGCTTCCTGCCTGAAAGACTCATTTAAATCTGCAAAACATAAAGTGATGCATTGCTGTGTTTGTGTAGAACGCCCTGATTAGAGAACTGGAGCACACCAAGAAGCTGATCGAGGAATCGCACCATGAGAAGGTGAGGAAATGCTTGGTTTACATTTAACATCTGTTAGCGTCTAGGCTGCTAATCCCTGCGAGTGTTTCCTTCTACAGGAGCAGCTCCTGATCCAAATTGAGACAATGAGGGCGGAGAATGAGCAGGGCAGGAGCAGGAGTAACTCCTCACTGCACGGGTAAACGCCTCCGCCACCAGCTGCTTCCATCACTCCCTCCTTCTGTTTACTTCAGCATTGGATTGTTTGTGTTTTCTCCAGGCGTTCCCAGCTGGGCAGCACCCCTGACTTCAGGTACCCCGTCTCGGCGTCCTCCATGATGGACAGCAACTCGGAGCATTATGGTGGCGCTCTGGTTCTGAGACGACCTCAGAAAGGACGTGTAGCGGCGTTGCGGGACGAGCCGTCCAAGGTGAGAGCTGGGAGTCTGTTCTCTGCTAGTGACTCCCTGCAGCATTTCTGACTCCTCATCTTCCCACTTTCCCTGTGACGCCGATGCTGGAACTCTTTCTGATGGTTTTCCTCTGTTCTGCTTCTTTTTGTGTGCTTCCTCTGTGGACTTCAGCGACATGTAAGTCAGTCTGCTTAGCAACACCGTCAGCGTTTGTGTTCTGGCTTCACTTTCTTTGACTTCTCATCCCCTTCCTGCTCCTCTGAACCGCTCTGCCATCTCAAACATACTGACCTCCTGTTGTATTTTTCCTGAACGGGAATTCAGGTGCAGACTCTGAATGAGCAGGAGTGGGAGCGCATGCAGCAGGCCAACGTCTTGGCTAATGTGGCCCAGGCCTTTGAGAGTGACATGGACGTCTCGGATCTGGAGGAGGACCGGGAGACCATTTTCAGCTCGGTGGACCTGCTGTCCCCCGCTGGTCAGGCCGACGCTCAGACGCTGGCCTTGATGCTGCAGGAGCAGCTGGACGCCATTAACAACGAGATCAGGTTATTATTCTGGCTGATGATAATAACACCTGTGGATCACTGAGGCCATTTTCCATTATGATTTGTTTTCTATCTGGGTTGTTCTGCTGCTTTCTGCCTCTTAATCAGAGGTTCTGCAGGTTTTGCAGAACATTTCCTTTTATCATTGATTCGGTCCAGTTGCACCAAACCACATTTTTCCACTTCTGATTTGATGCTTTTCTGATACCACAGATGTTTGCTTTAATGTTATCAATATTACTGTTGCTTTTTTACTGCTCTGAGATGAGTCTGTGGTCAGAAAAGGAAGCCGTTAAAACAGAAAATTCATCCTGAAAACAAACATCTGTCTGGATTCATTAAAGACAGAATGCTGAAAGATGTTAGTGGAATGCTAACGTTTCTGTCATTCCTTCAACCTTCAGGATGATCCAAGAGGAGAAGGAGAGCACGGCCATCCGAGCGGAGGAGATCGAGTGCAGAGTCGGCAGCGGCGACGGCCTGGGTGGCCGCTTCCGCTCGCTGAGCTCCATCCCACCGTCCCTGTGCGCCGGCTCATCGCTGGGCGGATCGCCGCCCAATTCGGGCCAGTCCACCCCCAGACGCATCCCCCGCAGCCCCAACAGGGAGCTGGACCGGATGGGGGTCATGACCTTGGTAATGTTGCCAACTATCAGCTGTAATTGCATTACATTTTACTTTGTTTCTGTGAAGAATGATTCAGTTTTTATTTTCCATGGTTTATTGACTTGTTTCATCAGTGAGCTGATAATCAAACGTATGTCTGTTAATGACCTCTATGTGACCCTGCCCCCTGCCTGTCGTAGTATTGCTATGACCCTTACATCATCCAGAGCTCCCTGTCCCAGCAGACAGTAACTTACTTGCCTTATGGTGCTGCGGGCTTCAGCGCCCCCCCACAGGCCTGTAGCTATGCGCCATATTTCCAGGTACCTGCAGACCATCTGCCTTCAGGCCTTACTGGGTGGGTGCAGCCTGTCACCTCTTCCAGAGGAGGAGTTTATAGCTTGCTGTTTCCGTTAATATATTACAGCCTCGCTCTGAAAAAGATTCCCATTAAACCTGAACTACCTGAAACTGTTGGCAGTTCTCCGGTTCGCCTCACTTTCCAGCCCTGCAGGCAGACTCAGTGTTTAACATCAACATGCCACGCTTCAGGGTGGCTCTTCTGCAGAACTACGCAAATAGAAGTCCTCACAGCTTTTTCACGTCATTCAGGAATCTCGGATCTGGAGATGATCTTTATCGACTCTGTTGGACGTGTTGTAGGAGAGAGAAACTGCTCTAAGTTCATCCACTCTGAGGAATGAAGTCGGTTTCATTAAGTTGTCCTTGTTGTGTCTGTTGAATTGCTTCTCTTCTGTTAGCAGTTTGTTTGCCAGATAATTAACAGAACATGGAAAAAGTGAACTAGTGTATGTGTGTGTGTGTGTATATATATATATATACTAGGGGTGTAAATCACATCCATCATGGCGATTCGATTCAGTATCGATTTCCTGACCCAACGATTCGATTATTTTCGATACTCAAGAATACACCACGATACGATTCGATTCGATTAATCGGTAAATTTCTTTTTTTTTTTTTTTTTACACCTTACAGGCTAAACAAAGTTTCAAGTTTTAAATAAATCAATGAAAACTGTAATATCGCTGTGCATATATTTTTTTTAAAACAACAGCAAATAACAGAAGTAGAAAAGTTGCATCAAAAAATACTCCAAAAGTACTGCACATAATCAGTGAAATGAAATACCTCGGCTCCAGACGTCCCGCCCCCTCCACACACACTCCGCTGCTCCTTTCCCAAATTGTAGCTGACCGCAGACAGTGCTACAGACAGGAGGCCGGCGAGAACGCTGGGTCCCTTTTTCCACCTGGATCTCTGCTCTTTTTGGCCCTCATGTCCCTCCGTCGTCGGACTAAACTCGCCCCCACTTCCTCGCCGTCTCGGCCGTATCTAGACCCACAGTGTGTAGCGCAGACCACGCTTCAATATTGAACATAAATCAAAAATGTCTGTGTCAAGCCTACTGCAACACACTGCTGCAGGAGTATAACCAGGAAGCGAGGTAGGAGGGCAAAATAGGTTTAGCGCCACCGCAGCACGGGAGGCAGAATTACGCCCAGGAGCAAATGGATAAAAATAAACCGGAGGAAAAAAAAAACATGACGCGTTGATGCATCGGATCGTCGGCTGTTGGATCGATGCATCGATACAAAACAATTATTATTTACACCCCTAATATATATTCTGCTAAAAAACAATTTAGGAACACTTTGAAAACACATCAGATATTGACTGGGTGATGTGTTAGGAACAAAAGGATGTCACATCATTTGATGTAAATGAAAATTATCAACCAACAAAATTACAGTGAAAAAAATTATGTGGCAGGCTAGTCCATTTTGCTGAAATTTCATTGCAGCAACTCAAAATGGTATTCAATCATTTGTATGGCCCCCACGTGCGTGTATGCATGCCTGACAATATCAGGGCATTCTCCTAATAAGACAACAGATGGCGTCCTGGGGTATCTCCTCCCAGATCTGGACCAGGGCATCATTGAGCTCCTGGACAGTCTGAGGTGCAACCTGGTGGCGTCGGATGGATTGAAACATAATGTCCCAGAGGTGTTCTATTGGATTTAGCTCAGGCGAGCGTGGGGCCAATCAATGGTATCAATTCCTTCATCCTCCAGGAACTGCCTGCATACTCTCGCCACATGAGGCCGGGCATTGTCTTGCACCAGGAAGAACCCAGGACCGACTGCACCAGCATAGGGTCTGACAATGGGTTCAAGGATTTCATTCTGATGCCCAATGGCAGTCAGGGTGCAGTTGTCTAGCCTGTATAGGTCTGAGTGCCCCTCCATGGATAAGCCTCCCCAGACCATCGCTGATAACATTCTTGACGGCTTCTCCAGACCCTTTCACGTCTGTCACATGTGCTCAGGGTGAACCTGCTCTCATATGTGAAAAGCACAGGGCGCCAGTGGCAGACTTGCCAATTCCGGTGTTCTGGTGCACAGGGCCTCCTAGAGGACGTCGGGCCCTCAGGTCACCCTCATGAAGTCTGTTTCTGATTGTTCGGTCAGAGACACTCACACCAGTGGCGTGCTGGAGGTCATTTTGTAGGGCTCTGGCAGTGCTCCTCCTGCTCCTCCTTGCACAAAGGAGCAGATACCGGTTCTGCTGATGGGTTGTAGACCTTCTACGGCCCTGTCCAGCACTCCTGGAGTAACTGCCTGTCTCCTGGAATCTCCTCCATGCTCTTGAGATTGTGCTGGGAGACACAGCAAACCTTCTGGCAATGTTACGTATTGATGTGCCATCCTGGAGGAGTTGGACTGCCTGTGCAACCTCTGTAGGGTCCAGGTAGCGCCTCATGCTAACAGAAGTGACAGGGACCCTAGCCAAATGCAAAACTGGTGGAAAAGATGAGGAGGGGAAAAAATGTCAGTGGCCTCCACCTGTAAATCATTCCTGTTTTCATGGTCATCTCGTTGTTGCCCCTCTGGTTCACCTGTTCTTACTTTCATTAACACCAAAGCAGCTGAAACTGATTAACAACCCCCTCTGCTACTTAACTGACCAAATCAATATCCCAGAAGTTATATATATATATATATATATATATATATATATATATATATATATATATATATATATATATATATATATATATATATATATATATATATATATATATGTAAATCCCTTTATTTTCCCACATTAGGCAAATTCCCTCTCTGCATTTAACCCATCCCCATGGGGAGCAGTGTGGGGTTAAGAGTTTTGCTCAAAGACCCAGAGTGCTGGCTGTGGGGATCGAAGCGACTTGCAACCCTCTTAGAACATAAGCGCACTGATCTAACCACTAGGTCAAGACTCCTTGTATGTATATAGATGCATATATAGATATGAATATGTATATACATCTATATACATACATAGAGATGTGTGTGTGTATATATATATATATATATATATATATATATATATATATATATATATATATATATCTTATTTAAGGAGCCAAGATACTAATGCCATTGGCAGATCATTTTATTTATCTGATCAATTGGTGGTCAAATATTTAGAATAGTTATTTAGAATACTTTCTTTAGATCCATTTTTTTTTATCCAAGTTGCAGTAAAGTTAAAGGTTGGCAGCTTTAGGAAGTTGGGTTCTCGTTCCTGCCTGTCAGAAAGCTGGAAGTCGGGAACCATTATTGCTCATTAAGTGAATTTTTCCTCTTCCTGTTCCCCTTTTATAGCTCAGTAATGTGTCGCTCAGCCGGCCTCTCTGTGAGCTGAGCAAAGGAAATGAGTGATTAGGTATTTTTTCTCCGGGGGGCATAGAAATGTGGCACGCTGGTGGTTTATTTGCTCTTCTAATGCCGGGTTTGTGAGGAATGTAGGAGGGAAGAAATCCTCCTTGTTTTTTGTTTTTTTTCTTCTTTGTGAGTGGAAATTATTACTGCAGCCGTGACGGCTCGTAAATTCAGCTGCTATTCTTTGCTCACCAAATAACTCGTCGTGCTTTCTGACTAACTTGTGTTCCATTGTCGTCGCCCGAGTCTTTAGACTGAATAACAACTAAAGGAGGTAGGCTGCACCCATCCAGCCCATCGGCCTCCTCCTTCAGCGTGGTTTCATACAGTCCTTTCTGTGTGCAGTGCTGCTTCTGGCTTCTGTGTTACACAGAAACAGATTCAGATGCGATTTGGTTGCGTGTTTAACTCTGATCAGAGGTAAAAATAAGGTTTCTTCTTCTGATTTCCTGCCTGTGTGTTTTTATGCATGGCTTGGATCCAGCTCTGATCTGCTGCTCACTAACTGCTCTTCTTCTCTCTCTTTTTTTGCCACGCTTCAGCCTAGTGACCTGCGCAAGCATCGCAGGAAGGTAAAATAGCAGCTGCTTTACAGGGCTCATTCCCCCCCACCCCAAACTCCTGATGTCTCCACTTCCTGTTCTCTCTCTCATCTCTTTTAAAACAATCACAGTTGGGTTTTAATTCTCCTCCACTCACATCATTTCAGTTCCTATTTTAACTGGTTTACATTTTAAAAATTTCAATTTGAAATATTCATTCAAGAATTGTACACAAATATGATAATAAGTATAAAAAGAAAATATGAGATTCAACAGCAAGAGTTAAAATTAGACAATTTTTATTGTCATTTTGTATACACAGTGTATACATAACGAAATTTAATAAATTAGTTTTATGCTTAAAAACACCAGCAGGCCATTTAGAAGAATAAAAAATTTTGAAAAAACAGCAACTATATGATTATCTAGTGATGATTCTAACAGCAGCTGGGAGGAAGGATCTGCAGTAAGGCTCCTTTGTGCACCTAAGGAGCAGCGGACTCACAGGAGCAGCTCTGCTAAAGGTTCCTGCCGTGATGTTTTCCTAGCATCCTTCTGGAAACCTGCTTCCTGCCTCCTCCTCTCAGACATCCTGAAACTGGTTTAGTCCCAGATCCTTTCGCCTTTTATCTCGATGATGGTTCTGAGCTTTCATTCCAGGCCCTTCTTCTCAGCAACATGACATAAACTATCTTTGTAATTCCCTCTGAATGGGACCAGCACCCTCTACAGAGTAATCAGTAGATGGAACATTTAAGCCTTAATTTTAAAAAAGTTTAATTATATTTTAACTCCTGTCTGCCCTAAATTCCTTTCCCTTCAACATTTTAAAAAATTGTTGGGCAAAATATCAAAGGATTAATATGAACAGATTGGATGAAGTGAAGAAGACCAGTGAAGTACTCTGGTTTCTGCTGTAAAACTGATCAATAAGAGAGAAGAACCAGGCATTGTTCCTCGTTTATAAATTCCATCCTGTTTCCATTGAAGGACCTGTTATGTGCAGGATGCTGTCCTGATCTTTACGGAGCGGTTTCTCTTCACAGTAGTTCACCGCCGCCTGTTCTGGCATCCCTGCAGAATAAAACAGAACCTTCTGATCTTTGTTTAACCTCCAACTGCTGCAGCTTCATTCGTCTCTCTGTGCTCTCATCCTCCAGTCTGCACAGGATGACAAGGCCACCATCAGGTGCGAGACGTCCCCCCCCACCACTCCGCGCTCCATGCGGCTGAACAGGGAAGTAGGACACGCCTCCAGCCATGAAGACATCCGGGACATTCGAGGGTAAGGATAGTTGTCTGATGGACCTCTGGGGTTCGTCCGGTGCTCTCCGTAGATCACCTGATCGCTGTCGTTTGTATAGTTTGGGAAGCTTGCAGGACGGCCAGGGAAGCAACCCCAGCAGCAGCAACAGCAGCCAGGACTCCCTCAACAAAGCGGCCAAGAAGAAGAGCATCAAGTCTTCTATTGGGCGTCTGTTTGGGAAGAAGGAGAAGGGCCGACCCAGCATTCCCGGGAAAGACTCCCCCAGCCAGGGTCAGACCCACAGCGTCACCCAGACCCTCTGATCCTACCTTAAAGTGGAGGCTCTTTTGTTAACGGCATGTTTTTCCTTTAGCGGGGACGCCTGATGCAGAGAGCTCTCCAAAGGACGGTCTGGGAATGGCCACATTAGGAGGTCCTTCCGAGAAGAACCGGAAGCTGCAAAAGAAGTGAGTTTGATCTCGGTCTCTGCTACACCAGTAAAGCAGATTGTTGTCGATTCCATCACAGTTTGTAATCTGAAGCTGATTGTGTTCAGTTAAAGCTGCTTCACTCTCAGTGTCCCACCACCTCACCCCCCCCTCACTCCACACCCACTGTCTGCCTTTGTTGAGTTTGGAGCAGGCACATTGTAGGCACCATAAATGTTGTGGATCAGCATCAGTTCATTCTTTTTTTTTTTTTTTGTTTGCCCACCCTTGTTTTTCCACCATCCTCCTCTCATTCCATCTGTAGTCCAAAGACAGGGTAAGTCGGTTCACGTTGCTTTCTCTCACCTTTTCTTCCTCCCATTCTCGGCTGCACATTTACCCCACCAGTAACTCTGCAGGACCCCACACTGCTCCCCCTCTGACTGCCTGATGGTTTTCCTTGCTGCTCTTTTTCCCTACCTTTCACAGAGAAGCTTAACTAACAGGATTGCGTGATTGTGTTGTTCTTAATTTTCCTCTCAGAGCCGAAAATATTGGAAAATTTGAACATTTCTGTGTGAACTTGTTTTAATGTTAACTTCCTGTTGTTGGTGTGATGATGCAGCCCCATCTAGTGGTTGAATATGTTGCTACCGTGTTTGAATTGTGCAGCGGTAGTTCAGACCCCTCTGGGAATAGGTAGAGATGATGCATGCAGATGTAGATAGCTGCATTTATTCTCTAACTGTTTCTGAAAAGGGCTTCTCAGAAGGGCCGAGGTTCTGATTCCCAGTCAGATTCCACAGCTACCAGTAAAAGGCTGCAGAGGGGGTTTGAGTTAAAGCTGTTCAGTCAAAGCTTCCAGAATGTTCTCCTGGCCTTGGTTCTGAGTCTGCATGTCTTTTCAGGTTCTGGGGGTTTGTGCGTTTGAGCGGTGAAGATGACTGAGTGCATGCTGGGAATTTCAGAGGCTCCTTGTTTCGCTTGAGGATTTAAAATGTGGTGTTAATGCTTTTGTTTTTTTGTGCAACAGGCATGAGCTGCTGGAAGAGGCCCGCAGGCAGGGCCTGCCCTTCGCCCAGTGGGACGGACCCACTGTGGTGGCTTGGTTAGAGGTAGGACAGTTCTGACATTCTTCAAGCCTTTGGTTCCAGTTTGGATTAAAGTTACCTGAAAGTGTATCAACCTTCTGTACAGTAGTAGCCATTCAAAATGTCCCCACTTTTCTTGATGGGTCCTTGGCTGGTCCTCTACAATTCCTTTTTTAAACATCAATATTTGTATTAAAATATTCTTTCTCTCATGATTTGTGGACATTAAGATCTAAAAGGAAGCGCCTTTTCCTGGTCAGACCCTGTAATTCAGTGACAGAGTGGAGTCCGGGTAAAAAAAATGCACGAACAGAAGAAGAAGACGGTCACTCCAGTGGCTGGAAGTTGTCTGGCGTTTGACTGGGAAGGGCCATTTTGAATGGCTGCTACTGTAGCTGGAACCAGGAGCCGACATGTTCAGCGACTTTAATCTCTGCAGCTTTTTTTTTTCCATCAGTCTGACTGACCCTACCGCCCTGTCTCTCTTCCGCCCTCTTGTGGCCAGCTGTGGGTGGGCATGCCTGCCTGGTACGTGGCTGCGTGCAGAGCCAACGTGAAGAGCGGGGCCATCATGTCGGCGCTGTCCGACACGGAGATCCAAAGAGAGATCGGAATCAGCAACCCCCTGCATCGCCTCAAGCTCAGATTGGCCATCCAGGAAATCATGTCCCTCACCAGCCCCTCAGCCCCGCCCACCTCCAGAACGGTACCGCGCTCTCGCCCCCTTCACACATAGAACTGTTGGACATTTTAGGACATTTATCCTCTGGGTGCTCCTCCACACACATCATCACTCACAGCATGTTTTTAATGCAGAAGCACTTTTTAACACGTACTAATGAGCCACGTTTGTATTTTTTTTTCTAACAATTAACAAGCAATTCTTCCTGGTGTTTTTTTTTTTTGTCCTTCCTGTCTCGGTTCTGTCCTTCCCCCCCTGTTTCCATTCTGCACGCTTCTGGTTGGGGGGTGTCAAACGATCAGTCTACAGGAAACGTTTGGGTCACACACGAAGAGATGGAAAGTTTGGCAGCCACACCTCCTACGGTCAGTCCGCCCGGTTAGCGGGGCGCTGCTGCTTCACACATTGCTGCTGACGCCTCGTTTCCAGCAGCCAATCAGAGTCTGAGGAGGCAGCTGGAGGCGGGGCCTCACTCCTTCCTCTCTGTCCTCCACTTGCTTTGGTTCTTTGCTTTTTCTGGTTAGTTTGTTGTGTTTGTGCTTCATAGTTGCCCAGTTGCTGTATTTTTATTTAATTTTCTTAGTCATCAGATGTTTTCTCTTATATCCCTCATTAACAGATCTGTTAACAGATTTCAGTGCAACCAGAAGGTTTGATGTTTTCCACCTGTAACTTCTGGCTGTGGGTGTTAAGCAGATAAAGCCTCTTTCAGACATTCATAGGAGCTTCACAAACCGAATGCTGTGAAAGAAAGACGACTTTCCTCAATGACAGACCTGCTTTTTAAACAGCAGCCAGTTTCTTTTCTATAACCTGACTGTGGAATTATAGACGGTGTCTGTAGACTATTCCTCCTCTAAAACAGAAACCATGTTTGGGTCAGAGACGGAGCCTGAAGCATCATATGACCAGCTAAACTGGTTTACACAATCATTCAGGCTAAATATGTCAAACTCCCGCCGTGTCTGAAAGGGCTTTACTGCTGAGATCTGAGATCATTTAAAAGCTGCCTGTCTATTTCCAGTCAAACTAGAGTAAATTCAGGTTTGTTTGAACCACCTGACCAAACCGATAGGGGTGTAAATCACATTCATCATGGCGATTCGATTCAGTATCGATTTCAATACTCAAGAATACACCACGATTCGATTCCATTTGATTAATTGGTTCATTTGTTGTTTTTTTGGGTGTTTTTACACCTTACAGGTTAGACAATGTTTCAAATTTGAAATAAATCAATAAAAGCTGTAATATTGCTATGGATTTTTTTGAGAGACAACAGCAAATAACAGAAGTAGAAAAGTTGCACTCCACCTATTCCTATGATTCCTTTTTTGCATAAAAAAATCCCCGCCCCCTCCACAGACGCTCCGCTGCTCCTCTCCCAAATTGTAGCTGACCACAGACAGTGCCGCAGACAGGAGGCCGGCTTGTTTTGTTTTTATGACTGAAATTGAGGAAAACAACTCGTGAAGTTTGACCAGCTAGAAGAGTGAGGTGCGCGAGAACGCTTGGACCCTTTTTCCACCTGGATATCTGCTCTTTTTGGCCCTCATGTCCCTCCGTCATCGGACTAAACTCGCCCCCACTTCCTCGCCGCCTCGGTCGTGTCTAGACCCACAGCGTGTAGCACAGACCACGCTTCAATATTGAGCATAAAAATGTCTGTGTCAAGCTCACTGCAACACACTGCTGTAAGAGTATAACCAGGAAGCGAAGTAGGAGGGCAAAATACATTTAGCGCCACCACAGCACGGGAGGGAGAATTACGTCCAGAAGCAAATGGATAAAAATAGACCAGAGGAAAAAAAAATATGAATCGATTCTCTTGCGGACGTTTCGATGCATCAGATCGTCGCCTTTTGGATCGATGCATCGATACAAAACGATTATTATTTACACCCCTACAATTCCAGCTCTTAGATGTGTCTCATGTTCTCTGTTTGCTGCTTTAGAACTAACCTTTTCATTTCTTTTTTGTTTGCATTGAACGTTTTTTTCACGTGAAGCTGCTCCAACCCCGTCTGACGCCTCACTAACCCCACGCCTTTCTGTTCTTCTCACCATGCTCACTCTAACCACACTAACACCAGGAGGATGACGAGGGCAGCTGGGCCCAGGTTTGCACAAAGATCCCGTTTCTGCTTTAGTACCATTTTAGATAGAGCCTGATCAGAGTGGCTGCATCAAATCTGCAGTTTCAGCCACATATCAGCAGTTTTCACGGTTCTGTTCCTCAGTTACATTGACCTAAAGAAAACATGAAATGATAAACAGCAGAACAAAAACAGAAAAGCTTAAAAATCTTTACATTAAATGAAACGAAGTAGAAAGTCGATTATATATTGTGCAGGACTTTTATACATGTAACTCAGTTAAATCTAAATAGTCTGCTGCACCGATTTTTCCGGCCCCTGATATCTTTAGCAGTTTTTTTATTTTCTATATAACTGCAGGTTAAAAAATGCATTATTCAAATGAAAGAGACTCTTTACTCTGGTAACATTTCATTCGCAGGAGATTTCATTCACAGATTCATGCATGCTAGTAGAAGGATGACAAACACGCACTTATCGACCGTTACAAGAAAAAAAATTATCAGCCCAAAATGTCTGCTAGCTCCGACGGACTATTAGGGCTAGGCTAGATAATCTTTTTTTTTTAAACAGGAGAATAAAATCCTAATATGAGAATAAAGTCGTATTTTATAACAACATTTACCGGAAGCTCTATCTTCCCTAAAATAAGAAATGTCGAGCATCTTGTAAAGTTATACTTTGGCATCGTTTTAACAAATAAGGAAATATTAAGTCTTTTAGCATTAAATTATTAATATCAGTATCAGAACTTTAAAACTGGAAGCTGTCTTTCTGAAATGGGTTGTGGTATGATGACTTTATTCTCTTCAGTTTTCAATTTTATTCTTGTATTTAAAATAAATGAATCTGTAGCCTGGCCCTAATACTCTGTGGTACCTGGCCAGTGTGTCGGTTCAGCTCTGATAGCCATCGCTATATTTAATGTTTTTCTAGCAGATCAAACAGGCAGAGATCACCAACCAAAGTATGATGTCAGTATAAATATACAGCAAAATATTTGCTTTTTTTTCCCTGTTTCAGACTTTAGTTTTTAAGAACAAGTTAAATCTTAGTCTAAGATGACACAGTTAAACAATGCTTTTTTTTAAGTGGAGATTTTTCTTCTATTAAAGGAGAATAAACTCCATTCCTGTATGACCCCTCATAGGAAGGGACTGGCTCCTATAGCTAAGAGGCCAGGGGCCAGACTCAGCAGCATCAAAGGGGTCAAAGTTCACGAGAAACTTGCTCTCATCTTTGCAGAATTGTTGTAATTCAGCCTAAAATGAAGGATTTCCAGGAAAAACGTCCCTTTTAGGGTCATGGCAAAGTATCTTATTAAGATTCTGGTCAGCGTTGACTAGGCCATGGCAAAGTCTTTATTTTGGTTTTTCTTCAGCCATTTAGAGACGAACTATTGGTCACCAACAGATGAGCAGGATGCTATTATCCAGAAACTTTTGGTAGGTAGCAAAATTCATCCCAGCAGGTTTTCATGCTGCATTTTCTGTTTACTTCTGTTGTCTTTGACTAATATTATAATTTACTTGATGTTCTGAAACTCTTTGTGTGGCAAACATGGAAATAGAAAATGAAGAGGATGATCGATACCCCATTTACACTACCCTTTAAAAACCGTGCCGAACCGGTCCGAGCTCAGTAACTGAGATAACTTATCGTGTGTAAATGGAAAGCAAACTGAACTGAACCGAGCTAGACGCAACCGAACCGAGTTAACTGCAGACCAGTTCCAGAGGTGGGCTCGGCTCGGTTTTTCCCTGGCTCGGTTCTCTGATAACAAGAGCGCATGAACAGAGCGCATGGCTGCACATCCCGATTCACACTCCATTCCAGTAGTTGGCGCTAATGCCCCTCCGGAAACAGAAGAAGAAGAACAACTTCTTCAACTATAAACAACAATCGAAATATTCTCCACGCAACATTTTAAATAATGGCATTTTAAACAATAACACCGAAATACAGCAATAATAATCAAGCATAACTTTCTGAATGTGACCGGCGCCGCCATTTTGATTTGCTTGATTCCCTTCTTTGTCTTCTTCTTCTTGTGTTTAATGGCGGTTGGCAAACAACTTTTGGTGCATTACCGACACCAACTGATTGATTTCCTCCTTCAATACTGGCAGTAATACCGCAGATCGTCACTAGGAGGCGAAGAGTCGAGGAACCGAGATAGCGTGATGTGTAAACGGTCGTCAGATCCGAGCTCGGACCGTTGTCTCTGCATGGATCGGTTTTTCAAGGGTAGTGGAAATGGGGCTATAGAGTGCAGAACATTATAGATCAGGCGAGAGAAGGCAGTAAAGCCAATAGATCCAGTTTTAAGACTTACAGGTGATTTTTTTGAGGGTGAAATTGTTGTGTAAAAGCAATAAGCACAATTTTGTATATTTTGCAAGGTTTCGAGATGCTGGTGACTCCAAAAGTTAAAGGTTTCTTATTTCTGGAACTGTTATACCTAGAGGTCTGAAATATTCTGCAGTTGTGGCTGACATAATGCAGAATAAATGTTTAACAAGAACACATGCCTATTTTCAAGGATATCTTTGTTACTGATATAAAAAAAAAAACTTTATTATTTTTGAGAAGAAAAAACAATCTGTGTTTTAATTGCTGCAGTTTCAGCTGTGTTTTAGTCACATCTTTCCATTTATTTTCAGAAAATAATAAAATTTGAAAGCTAACTTCAAAGGCGAGGGGAACAGAACACCTTACCTGTTCAGCCAGGCCAACAATGCTCCTAACAACCCCCCTTTCAGAGACGTAGACGGGTATAAGGTATTGCAAGCTAACAAAGAACCCAAAGATCCCCATTCAGGACTCCATCTCTTCTAGGATGGGTTAGGAGGCTCTACAGTCATGCAGTGGCTGATGCCTCGCTCTAAAGCCTGACCTTTGTTTACATATCACAGTTCAGCCACACAAAGGTGACATTTACCCTGCAAGAATTATTATTATAATTGAGTCACTTTAACATGAATCCGAGTCTGATCGATAAAGCAGACAGATAGGAAGGAAAGCCAAACAAATATGTAACTTTCTGATGTTAGATTAAAATGATCTCACGGTCTAAACCTTTAGTTTTTCAGGCTCGAATGAAAATATAAGGATGAATAAAAACCATTTCTTTGGTTCTTTGAATGCATCCTTATGATCCAGATGTGCTGCAGTTTGGCGCTTCTGGAACAGGCAAGCAGCTGCTTGATTGACCCCTTTACTGTCTTTGAAAGGAAAATGCGCATATCTGATATCAGGGTTTCTGTCTGTGGGCGGACACCTGCTCCAACACATCAGTGTTGCCTGAACCATCGCTGTTTACTATATTTTTTAACCTTTTATTGTTTCACAGTGTAGGATAAATAAAAAAACAACTCGACAGCTTCGGAAAGATTTAAATTCCACCTTAAAGGTTACCTTCTGTCATTTTGTCATTATGTGGCGTTTGTGATCCTCCTTAAAAGCTTTAATCCTGAAGGGAAGCATTTCTCTCTGCTTTGGTGCATCTCAGAGCTTTTATGTTATAAAAGGAACCAGAACCTTTGTAGAAATTTTAGAATTCTAGGAAACGTCCTGAGGAACGACTAATCCCTGATTGTTGTGGACATGCAGACGTTAGCGTATGGAGACATGAACCACGAGTGGATCGGTAACGAGTGGCTGCCCAGCCTGGGTCTTCCTCAGTACCGCTCCTACTTCATGGAGTCCCTGGTGGATGCCCGGATGCTGGACCACCTGACCAAGAAGGACCTGAGAGGACAGCTGAAGATGGTGGACAGCTTTCACAGGTACACCTGGAAACAAGTCCCAGCTTAGCCGGCGGATTGCCCCTTCAGCAGGGTCCTGGTTATAACCAGAAGATTTATTAAGGCTGCAAATAATCGAACTTTAGATATTTCTAGGATTAGTGGATGGAAAAAAACATTCACTACTTGGGGGTTTCTTTTTATATTAATATTAAATGACTTTACTTTAAATCAGATATTTAATCATTTATTCCTCAATGTTTCTTTTTTATTTTTTATTTTCTTAATTTATATTAACAAAAAAAGCCGACATTGAAGATGAAGAGAAGAATTATTCTTATTTTTTTCTTCCCCTTTTTACAAAAATGCATAAAATGCATTAACTTCATGTGACTTTGTCATTATGACAAATAAGTAATTTATTCTATAGTTTCAGACTTACTTTAAACACATAATGTTATACATTTTTTAAATACTTTAAGTTCTCTCTTGAGGTTTTTCCATAATTAAGTATTTACAGAGATACTCTGTTCGTTTACTTTGATTTTTTATTCCTACTTACTCATAAAAAATTTTATATCGCCAATCTTAAAGTCCTTTTTCTTAGATGCGCTTCAGTTGAACCCAGGTAGAAAAAATAGACACAATAAAGACTGACCTGCTGACCATCAAATAGACCAGTAGCTCATTTCACACTGGTTCAGCATAAAAGCTGCATAACGTTTCTAAAAATGTTTAATAGTTTTTTTATCCCTGAGCTGTGTATCATATGGACAGTCTGAGACAGTGTTTATACATTTAATCACGATTACATTATGACATTAAAGACTCTTGAAAGGTTAGTTTAAATGCCTGCTCCTGGTTCAGCGTCTTCTTTAGGAATTTGTCTGGACAATTAAAGTTAATCATTAAATAATGATCCTCAATAGATCAGAATAAAATTGCATGATGAGAGGATGGTCTATAGACTGATCAGCTTCAGCCAAACGCTTGTTATAAACATTTTATTTAAATTTACAGAGTGAACGTTCATCATTCCTCCCGAGTTAAACAAGGACTGGGTAAACAGGAAGAATCTTAAACCCTCAAACTACAGCCTAGCTTGTGTTTGTGCAACAGGAACAGTTTCCAGTGTGGTGTGATGTGTCTGAGGAGGCTGAACTACGACAGGAAGGAGCTGGAGAGGAGGAGAGAGGAGACCCAGCTGGAGCTCAGAGGTAAGCAGCACCCCCTGCTGACGGCCCACTGATGCTGCAGTCTCTGCATTTTAGCACACCTCAGAGTTAGCTTCCCTACTGCTGTTTATTTTAAGTTTAAAACTTTTAAAAACAATTGAAACATCTGATGCGTCTTTTGGGTGGTGGATATAAACACAATATAAAAAAGGACGACTCTGTTCCTGAATCCTTGTTCTAAAAATAACCTGCTTCCTGTGCGGCTTATTGTCAGTGTTTAGGAACACACGGCAAAGGTAACGGTCCATGATGTAAGCGATCAACTGTTTCTACAGTGAGCATTTAAAAAAAAAAGTATAAAACACATTCAAAATCTTCCTACAAAACAGGGTTCGTACGGGTGCTGGAAATCCTTGAAAATGCTTGAATTTTAATGTTGTGTTTTCAAGGTTTGAAAAGTGCTTATATTTTGGATGAAATGCTTGAAAATGCTTGAAATTGTAACTATTTCTTTCGCGAAAAATACCTATCTAACTGAATCGTGTGTTTATTAAATGGAGAAATAAAATGTTGGAGAGCCCGAAAATGAAACCTGCTCGCTTATGCGTGACTGCGATCTGCCAGTCTATTTCCATGTGTGACTCCGCCCCCATGAAACCACTACTGCACCATGCCGGGACGTTGTTGTTTCAATGAACGTTAGCTGGAAGATGAAAAATACAAATTATGGATTAAACGGGGACAAACCCCACGAGTTGCCTCTTGTAAAGTCTGCAAAAAAGATGTGCAGCTTTGCAAAAAAGATGTGCAGCTTTTCACAATGGGTGAGTCTGCGCTGTCGAGTCACATGAAGAGTAAGTCATAGACTTTTTAAGTAAGCCAACTGAAGTAGCCTAGTACACCTTAACGTTAGCACCTATTTGTTTACGCTAGTAGCTGCTAGCTAGGAATTCACAGGCTAAGTTACTGAGTGACAGAGAGTACAGTGTTTCCCGCAGCACTATCTCGCCAAACTCACGCTACTGCCTTGCCAACGTTCCAAAAAAAAAAAAAAAACCCAAAGTTTTAATTCATTGCCAGGCCTAGACCTTAAAACAGCATTGATAACTCTACGGCTGATAATACTGAATTGCGACACCCTCTGGTTGGTTATATTTAGGGATGCACGATATAATCGGTGCCCTATCGGTATCAGCCTGTATCGGCCTTAAAACTGAATATCGGACATCGGCCACCCCACCGATATTTAACCCGATATTTGATCAGCTTCTGAGTTTCTAAAGTCTAAAAAAAAAAAAAAATACTACTTCTTCTTCCTCAAAAACTTCTTTTTTACAGACTTAAAAACTTCTAAAGACGAGGGAAAAAATATTGATACATTAAAATATCACAATATCTTCATATGCTGATATATTGCCATTTAAAAACACCATATCAATCTCTTTTACTACTGAAATATTGCTATATGTCATCGTTATGCTACGAAATCCCCCGAAAATTCACAAAATGTTGCCATATTTTTATATGTTGATATATTGACGCGGTATCGATCTATTTTACTAACAAAATCTCACAAGAATTTGCAAAATATCACGAGAGTTTGTAACAGAACGATGAAATTTCACCAGATTTTTAAAGTAAAATAGATCGATACCGCGTTTTTAAAAATCAATTTGATATCAGCATATGAAAATATATTTGAGTATATTATTTTTCAAAGTGTCAGAAATGGATAACAAAACTGCTATTTTCAATGACTACTTATTTTTGTCCAGCTTTAACATCAGTATCGATATCGGTTATCGGCTACATGAGTTTTAAAATATCGGCATATCGGATATCGGCCAAAATCCCAATATCGTGCATCCCTAGTTATATTACTACGCCATGGCAGAGTAGTAATCCCCCCCGTCCCCCCCCAACCCCCCCAGCAGCAGTCATCCGCACAAAACTGGTTTCGGCCAACAACTGGTGGTGGTGTAAGGTGCTGGAAAAAGTTTTGAAATGGATCTTGAAAGTGCTTGAAAAGTGCTTCATTTTGACTTTGGAAAAGGTGTACGAACCCTGTACAAAACCAGGAAACAGGAGAAGTGGGAGAAAATGTCAGCTCCTCTGTTCAGATAAGAAGAGGGAAACCCAAAACATCAGTTAGACCAGAAAAAAAGGATTAAAAATTGAATTAAATATGAGCCAGAGCAACTGAAAAGACTTCCAACATTCAGCCTTCCTGTTAACTGTCTAAGGTTTCACTCTCTCTCACAGTCCAACAGACATACTTTGACACTTCAGAAAAATACACCTCCCACATTTAAGTCTTCATCACTCAATAACAACCTTAGTTGCAAGTTTCCTAAGCAATTTCTCATACTCACGCGTTATTCCGAGGGTGTCTTTCCCAAAATGGAGTGCAATATGCTGATGAAGGTTCTCAGTCATCCAGGTCATAGTCATTCCGTAAAAATTCAAAAAAATATCCACTGGACTTGGTTTTTAAAACCAAGTCCAGTGGATATTTTTTTGAATTTTTATGGAACAACTTTAGTTCAAATTAGAGCTTTGATTTCTGAGTTATCTGACCAGATGTTCACTAATCTGAGCAGATTAACCTGAGAATAAGCTCTGTTTGGTCCAAAGCTGTGTTCTGCATCTCTGCAAAGATCTATAAATGTCACAGTTTTAGGGAAATCAGAGGATCATAGGAACATAGCAGGAAACTTTAAAGAAAGCTGGGCCTCATGTGGAGCTAAAAACCCCACTAGCAGTCCATCTACCACTGTTCAGAACACCAGCACTTCCCCCAGGTTTTGATCATAACCTTCCTGTTTTCAGACTTGCTGGTTTGGACGAACGAGCGCGTGATCGGCTGGGTTCAGGCCATCGGCCTCAAAGAGTACAGCAGCAACCTTTATGAGAGCGGCGTCCACGGGGCGCTGCTCGCCCTAGACGAAAGCTTCGACCACAACTCGCTGGCTCTGCTGCTGCAGATCCCCACCCAGAACACTCAGGTACGCAAACCAGAATCATACAAACTACAGAGTCGTAGTTTAACGCACCTCTCTGCAGCTTCTCTACTGTTACCCACTCATTACTTCATCCAGACAGTGGTTTGCTTACGACCAAAATCAAATGAAAAGATTCCCAAAGGAGTAAATCATGATAATCTAATTGAAATGAAAACTAGAGAAAAATAATTAGAGAAAAAGTTGAACCTATTAAATGTGGTTTATTTAACATAATGTGCTTATGTTATCTACTTCTGTCTTGGTCAATCAAGTCGTTGACCAGCAGATAAATTCTGCTCTTGATCCCAGAGTTGAGTTGTTCTGGAATCAAGAGTTCCTTAAGGTTTTATGTGCTGAAGAGAGCAGTCGATCCTGGAAACTTAAAGCTTGCTGAGCATAAAGCCTGTTTCCTTTACCTGCAGGCCAGAGCAGCTCTAGAGCGGGAATACACCAGCCTGATGGCGATCGGTGCTGACAGGAAAGTAGAGGAGGTGAGAAACTCACACAAGTTTGTAGGATCTGCTTCCCCTCTCTGGCTGAAATCTTCCACCATCTTTCCTCCAGGATGACGATAAGAACTTCCGCCGCGCCCCGTCATGGAGGAAGAAGTTCAGGCCCAAAGACATGAGGGGAATGCCGCTGGGCGCATCAGATACCCTGCCTGCAAACTTCAGAGTGACTAGCAGCGCGGCGTCGCCCTCCATGCAGCCAAAGAGAAGCCCGATGGACGGTAAGCAGCAGGAGCCAAACTGTCTTCCTGCATGTTGATAAAACTTCCTGCAGCTCTTACTGATTGAGGAGCCTTTTTAAAACTCTTAATGCGTCTTGAATGGCTTTGCTGATCTGCTCACTCTGACTAACGGCATGTCTCTGCATGTGGTTTGACCGCCATGGAAACACAGGAGGTCAGTCTATACAGAGGCTGGACACTGCCACAGTCAGGACCTACTCTTGTTAACAAACAACGGTAAGGCCACACCCACCGGCTTGGTTTAATGATTCAGATAAAGCGTTGTATAGAGCTCCATTAGTGCCATCTAAGAAAATGAAAACAATTTTCAGATTTATAAACAGACTTGAATCTGTTTAATGGACATGCAGACAATCAAACCCTGAGGCAAAGAAAGATGTTTTAGGAACTAGCAATGCACCAAGCGATCAGCCGGCCGATTGATCAGCAAATCAATGCTTTGTTTTATTTGAGAGAAGTCATTTTATTTTTAGGGCCTTCTGACCCTTTTTATTGTTTCACTGGTTCTGATTAATGCCTTTCAGTAAGATCAGATTGAAATATTTGAATAATCAAGAATGCTCAAATTGAAAAAATCCTCATAGTAGAATGTCTCTTAGAGATAAGTAAATTATCCCCAGGTTTAAGACCAATTAAAACAAATTTCTCCTTTATCATTCTATCTTGTTGACACTTCTGGAGCTCCGTACTATTTCACCCTGCAATCTCAGCAGAAAGCAGCTTTTTATGTTGGAGGTTTCGGCTTTAATAACACATTTTACGCCTCTTTTCTCTTCCTCCTGTCTCCATCCATTAATCCATCATCCATCTACCCACTCATCCATCCACTTACCACCCGTCATCTATCCATCCATTCATCCGTCCATCCATCCAACCAACCATTCATTCATCCTCCCAACCATTATCCATCATCATCCATTCATCCATCGATCCAACCATCATCCATTCATCCATCCAACCATCATCCATCCATCCAACCATCATCCATCCAACCATCATCCATCCAACCAACCACCATCCATCCATCCATCCATCATCCATCCATTCATCCATCCAACCATCATCCATCCATTCATCCATCATCCATCCAACCATCATCCATCATCCATCCACCCATCCATCATCCATCCATCATCCATTCATCCATCCAACCATCCAACCATCATCCATCCATTCATCCATCCAACCATCATCCATCCATTCATCCATCATCCATCCATCCAACCATCATCCATCCATCCACCCATCCATCATCCATCCACCCATCCATCATCCATCCATCATCCATTCATCCATCCATCCACCCATCCATCATCCATCCATCATCCATTCATCCATCCAACCATCCAACCATCATCCATTCATCCATCCATCCAACCATCATCCATTCATCCATCCATCCAACCATCATCCATTCATCCATCCATCCAACCATCATCCATTCATCCATCCATCATCCATCCATCATCCATTCATCCATCCAACCATCCAACCATCATCCATTCATCCATCCATCCAACCATCATCCATTCATCCAACCATCCAACCATCATCCATTCATCCATCCATCCAACCATCATCCATTCATCCATCCATCCAACCATCATCCATTCACCCATCCATCATCCAACCATCATCCATTCATCCATCCATCCAACCATCATCCATCCACCCATCCATCATCCAACCATCATCCATTCATCCATCCATCCAACCATCATCCGTCCATCCATCCATCCAACCATCATCCGTCCATCCATCCATCCAACCATCATCCGTCCATCCATCCATCCAACCATCATCCGTCCATCCATCCATCCATGGCTTCTGTCCTGCTGTCTGTTTACTTCTCCTCCCTGTTCAGTTTATCCTCATTATTTCTATAGGTAACCGTTGGTCCGAGGATGAAGGTGAATTTCCTGCATTCAGGACCAGGATGATGACCTGAAACGATTCTAAAAAGGATGATTTACCGACTGAAGAGAGACTTTACTGAGCGGAACTTTCTAGATGAATCTAAGTGTTTATGATATTTATATCCGGGGGGGGGGGGGGGGGGGGGGGGGGGGGGGGTTGTAATTCTGAGTTAACCGCTGTTTGTTTCTCTCCTCTTAATAAGCCCTGCTTTCTAAAAACGTTTCAGATTTCTGTAACTGAATGTTTCTATCATCTGGAGTTTGTATATTTCTACCAGCAGACGTTTTATCTAATCTTTTTTTATAATCCTGGTTTTTTGAACAGATGTATGTTTTCCTTTGCTAATCATTGAATTTATTCTTAAGTGACTTTAATATGACACTATAACTTAATTCATATCCGTGACTCTTTTTTTTTAGCGTATGACCTGTGGGTTTGTGTAAATGGAGCTCTTAGATTAACAGATGTGTGAAGATCAGATTAATTGCTGGAGTTTCGTAAATTCAGTTGTCCGTCGCCTCGAAGCAAACTGCCGGTCATCCAGGTGATGAGGACGACGGAAATCATGTGAAACAGAGATTTTCTGCTTTCCTTCTTTATTTTCATATCTAATACCAAAACATGTTAATCCTCCAGAGTTAAGCCATAAAACGGTAGCAGGAAAACGTTCCTGAAGGCTGCTTTCAGTGAAATCAGACCTCCAGGTTTTCTTCTGGCCGCATGAGGAGGCTCCCTCACTGCCTACCCCTTTAAGAGAAACCCCGCCACCACCACCACCACCTCTGGAGACGCCCACGGACGGCCCGGCACCTTCAGGGGGGAGTCTGAAGTGCTGCGTCTCCTTCTATGGACCAAGTTCACCGAGGCCTCAGCTGATCCCCGCTGCCATCACCACACATCCTCCCAGGCGGTGCGATCCTCCCATGAACCTTTTTTTTTTTTTTTTTCAATCACTTTGTAGATTTTATACCAAGCCTTATTGTTTACCCCTTTCCTGTCTTTTATTTATTATCATTGATTTATGTTGTCTCGTCAGTTTGACCCTCGGAGCTAAAGCTCCTCTTCCTTCCTCACAAACTCGGGTTCCAAAGTTCGTATTTATTGCGAACAGGAAGGAACCGACGTGTCCTTTTTTTCCGTGTCTCACACAGAAACTGTTTTTTGTTTTTTTTATTTAGTCATTTATGCACAAAGCGAATCATGTTGCTGTTTTTATTCCTGCTTCTGTTGAATCTTCTGATCTTGTAACAATGATGTACAGTCTGAGTACTTATAAACTATTTTTATCACAGTATTATTTATTGCTTACTTTCAATAAAATACTGAAACTTATTTTCCACTGCAGATCAGTTGACTAGAGTTTTTTTTTTTTTAAGTTTTATGTTTGTTTTTGTCCTTTTAGAATGAAGCTGCTCCTTCAGCTTCCGAATCTCTATGAGGCTTTATTGTTGGAAGCCTTTTTTTCCTCGTTCTCATAATTTACATATTCAGGCTTTCTTCCTAAATTTGAGCCAATGGAAAGCATTCGTTTTTAAGATATGCTTATATAAATGTAGGATCAATTTGGAAAGTTTAGTAAACCTAAAAGGAGTTCAGAAGTTGGTGTCTACCTCACTGATAAAAACCTGGGAGCTGTTCGCAGAGGAGGAGGGACTGCACTGGAAAAACGATCTATAAATAAGTACAATTTTCTTAAATTAAGTGTATTTTACCCTTAATTTGAGTAGGTAAATGAGATAGTTTGCCAATGGAATGAGTATTTTTACTCTTAAAATAAGATAATTAGATAAAATACACTTGAAATAAGACAATGCAATTGTGTTTTCTCATTTTAAATGTAAATTGTCTTGTTCCTTTGGCAAAATGTGTCTTTTACCTCCTCAATCCAAGATCAAATACACTTATTTTAAGAAAAGATGACTAATTTAGATTTCGAGTTTTTTCCAGTGTGGTAACTGGGAGGGATGTTGGCGTCCAGTCTGGAGCTGCTTTAGTGGATGGATGTTTTCTAAAGGTCTATCGTGTTCATGAAAAGAATCACTTGAGTTCTTCATAAATGTGTATTTTTAAATCCTACCTGATATGAAGAGCTAATGAGGTTTATATGAAATACAGTGTTTGCAAAAAAGTGTTGAAATACTAAGATGATTAAATCATTGGGGTCCCTACATCGCAGGGGTTCATTTAGCAGAGATGTCAAAGCATTAATGTTTATTACTCCAGTAAAAGGATAAATCCTACTGTTTAAAAACCCTTGAATCAACTTAAGCTTTTTACTCCAGTAAAAGTACCGTTTTTAAAACTACTTAAAGTATAAAATTAAAAGTAATGCAGGAAAAAATGTTAAGGACAAAAGCTTTACTGCACTAACCAATAAAATGAAAATTTTTCTGCAATTCTGGATGATATTTTCCTTAAACTTCATACTTTTATAACTAATGGTAACAGTGTCCAAATTAACTTTGCATCATCTTGAAAAACTTTATTTTGGTATGTGTTGAACAACAAGTTGGGGCAGCACCGAGTCCAACCACAAAAAGTTGGGAATAGTTGAGAGAAAAAGGATCCCTCAGGGGCGGATCCAGGGTTTTCAAAATGGGGGTGGGCACCTAAGCCCTTAATAAGGGGAATGTTAAGACAAAGGGAAGCGAAATCCGTGTTTCCCAACTGTGGGTATGCGTACCCCTAGTGGTCCATGAGGGTATTGCAAGGGGTACTTGAAAATATTTTCTTAGGTACTAAAATAAAATAGGCTGGTATCTGTTCTGTACGGAAGAGGATTAGGGCCACTGAAAAAAAAAAAAGTTTACTGATTTTAAAATTTTATTTCAATTTAGTATTGGAAAAAAGTCAGAATTCTGAAAATCAGAAAAAAGTCAGAATTCTGACTTTTTTCCTCAGAATTCTGACTTTTTTCTAAGAATTCTGACTTTAATCTCAGAATTCTGACTTTAATCTCAGAATTCTGACTTTAATCTCAGAATTCTGACTTTAATCTCAGAATTCTGACTTTTTTCTCAGAATTCTGACTTCAATCTCAGAATTCTGACTTTTTTTCTCAGAATTCAGACTTTTTTTCTTGTCAGAATTCGGAGAAAAAATTAAAAAATGAAACATGCTTTTTTTTGTGCCAAAAAGTATGTTTTTCAATTCAGTCTGACTAATTTTTGTTCCCAATTCATCAAGTTTAAATGTGTTTTATAAGGCAGTTACTCAGAGTAGCTCCAGTTTTATAAACACAGGTTTATAATATGATTTTAATATATATGATGAGAAGTGTTTGCCTAGTGGTTAGAGCAGTGCGCTTGTGCTCTGAGAAGGTTGCAAGTACCCGGCTGATCCCCACAGCCTCCACTCTGGGTCCCTGAGTAAGACCCTTAACCCCACACTGCTCCCTGTGCGCCGCACAGTGGCAGCCCACTGCTCCCCAAGGAGATGGGTTAAATGCAGAGAATGAATTTCTCCAATGTGAGATCAAAAAAGTTCAGTTATTTTATTAAATGCTCGAAATAAATGGTTAAGTAAAATAGTTTTTTATTTTATAATCACTTATTGTACGTTCCACTTTGGTAAATCAGCAATACTTTAGACTGAACTCATGGTAAGACAAAATGCCCAAAGGGGGAAACAAGTCAAAAAAGGTTGGAGCTAAATGACAAAAAAAAATGCCTTCTTTACTCTTTCACAGAACCCCAACTATTCATCTTAAGGTTTGTTTGTTTTTTAAATGTTCATTTTTTTTGGATGAATATGAACGCAATTAGCTGAAAAAGCATTTTTGAACCAAAATGTCACAGTTTTAAAAGCCTGCAGAGGGTTAAAAGGTAGTTTGAAGACAAAATGATCCTTAACGATCAAAGCTTTTCTTCATTTCAGGAAATATTTATTTATAAAAGACTCAAGGATTGAGAAAAGTTTGCTATGGTTCCAGTGATAAAGGGTTTTTGAATATATTTTAACCAGAAAAACTTAATCCTAAGAAGAAAAACATTAAATTAAACCAATGAACATGGTGTGAAGTTAAAGGATAAGCCTATAACAGAACAGTAAGGCTTGATAACGAGATGATGATGATGATAATGGCTTCACAAAAATCAACCTTCTGGGATGCTTCTGAGCAAATATGTCAATGATTCTGTTGATGTAAAAATGTATGTCTTTGTGGACATAAGTAGCAAAGCCACAAACCTTTCTTGACCCATATTTGACCTCAGCAAAGGTGTGACTGCATTAACCCCCAAGTTGGCACCTTCCGCACAAGCACTCGTAAGCACTGACAGAACATGAAGAATCATTTGTTAAATTAAAATATGGTAACGGCAGATCAATAGCTACAAATCAGAGCATATTTTTTATATGTTCACAAAAACTAAGACTGTTTGTTTAAATTATTGGATGCAAACTATTAGAACTTCAACATACCAGGTGCTGCAGCACCCCTTAGTGGCAATAGATTTTTTTTTTTAAAGTATTAACAATTCACAATTTGTAAATTTCTCCAGAATATTTTGGGTAAGGCTTTTGACTTTTTTTTTTTTTTTTTACTGTTGTGTGTTTTAATTTAATTATTCTGAGGCCTAATTAACAAGTTCATGGAAGTTACGTTGTCATGGTAACATCAAGCAAGCTAGTGGTCAAAGAGTGAAGAGGTGTCCCACTTGCAGCAAAAGACTACTGCTATTTAAATAGTTTAATGACAGAAAGGAGGAGGAAATATGGCACAGTACGGAGCCCCTTAGGGGACATGGGGAATTTTTTTTCCTTTTGCGTTCCCTCGCAAAAGTATTGCGTTACCTTGCAAAATTTGGTGTTACCTCTCAAAACCTTTTGCAAAAGTTTTGCGTTCCCATACAAAACCTTTTGTGTGGGAAACCTTTACTTATTTTTTTAGAATTTTTTTTGTTATTAAGCATTAATATCATCCTATTTTACTTCATAAAGAACTCCCATCTACCTAGCATCTCTGTGTACTTCATTCACAAAAAGTTATAAAAAGGTGTATTTTTTCCAAAACAGCTGTTGTAGTATGATCACCAGAAGTTCCTTGGTTTGTGTGGCGATTTTGGAGTGTCTGCACCGTATAAACACAGAGCTATTGATCAAAATAGGATGATATTAATGCTTAATAATAACAAAAAAACAAGTTAAGGTGTCTTTCAAAAACAGCTGTTGTAGTATGATCATCAGGAGTCTCTCAGTCTGTTTGATGATTTTTGAGTGTCTGCACTGTATAATCACAGAGCTATTGATTAAAATAGGATGATATTAACGGTTAATAATAACAAAAAAATCTAAAAAAAAAAAAAAAAAAAGTAAAGGTGTATTTTTCCAAACCAGCTGTTGTAGTGTGATCACCAAGAGCCCCTTGGTGTGTGTGGTGATTTTGGAGTCTCTGCATTTTATGGCAGTGGCGTTATTGATTTTTATTTGCAACGTTTTGCTGTTTTACCATTTGCAGACGGTCCCTAACCACTCACCTGGCCGCTGCCTGTGCATAGAGATCAATGTAATATATCCAGCTCGGAGAACGGCTCATTTTTCTCGAAAATAACGCTTTTTGATTCTTGTAATACGTAGTCTGTGCTATCAGGACATGAAAGAGGCGCCATTTGTGTTTCAACAATGAGAGTTATTGATCCCGGAAGTCCGAATCTGTGAATGTCTTTCTAACTTGACCGAAGTAAGGTTTTGCGTTCTCACGCAAAAGGGTTTGCGTGGGAAGGCAAAACTTCCCAAAAGGTTTTGCGAGGTAACGCAATACTTTTGCGAGGGAACACAATCGTCTTTACTGAGATCAGACACTTCCTTCAAATATTTAGTCCTAAATTTGTCATAGTTGTATTTTAAACACTGCAAAATTCTATTTCAGTCAGCCTTTTATTCTGTCTGTGTTTTTATGTACAGTATATCCTAACAGGACTCTCTTTTAAAGGAGATCTTGCCTCAAAAAATCAATATCTGTAAAGGTTTAATAATAATAACACAATTTCATTTTATTTGCTGTAAGTCAAAACAAAGAAAATAACTTACTGTGTGTTTAATTAATCTATATCGTACAATGGAGTATTAGGGCCAGGCTAGGGATTATTTTTTTTTTGTTTTATTACAAGAATAAAGGTGTATTTTATTAAAAGTCTTACCAGAAGCTCTGTATTCCATAAAATGAGGAATTGAAGTTTTATACTTTGGCATCGGTTTCACAAATACGGAAATATTTAGTCTTTAAGCATTAAATTATCAGTATCAGAACTTTGAAACGATTGTGAAAATGACTTTTAGCAGGAAGCTTTCTCTCTGAAACCGGTTGTTCTATGGTGACTTTTATTTTTCAACTTTATTCTCATAATGTCATAACTTAATTCTTGTATTTAAAAAAGACGAAAATCTCTACCCTGGTCCTAATACTCTGTAATAATATCTATACTTGAACTTTTGAACGTAAAATAAATTTACTTGTCATCCATATAGATATCTGTGTATAAATAAATGTTTTGTATTAGTAGTGTTATTAAGCTTCCTGTTGGTTGTTTGTTTATCGCCTTTTTGTTTTGAGGAGTAGTTTATTAAATAACTGAAAACAGACTCTGGGAATGTCAAACCGGAATATACAGATCACGGTATACTAAAAAACTAAAGTATAAAAGTATACTAAAAACTTTAATTATTGTAAAAAAAACTGTAAATAAAAACAGATTATTAAATAACTGAAAACCGACTCCGGGAATGTCAAACCGGAATATACAGATCCCGCCATACTAAAAAAACTAAACTATAAAAATATACAAAAGATTTTAATTATTGTAAAAAAAAAACTGTAACTAAAAACAGATTATTAAATAGCTAAAAACAGACTGCGGTTTGACATTCCCGGAGCCCCATAATTCATGCAAATACCGTGCAGCTCCTCAACGCCCCGCCCACAGATGACGTCTTAGCTGGATCGGGATATCGGGAGAGCCGGAAGAGCAGCAGACAGAGCGGAGGACCTCCGCAGTTTCTACCAACGGCCAAAGCGGAGCTCATCTACCGGGACGGACGGTCCACCTCAGCCGGCTGGAGTTAACTATTCCTGGGAGAAGGTGAGTGTCCTGACCGGTAGAACCAGGCTGTGGAGCCGGGCGGGGATCCAGGTGAATCTTCCAGAAGGAAGGCTAACGTTAGCCTGCTGCTAGCTGGCTGGAAAACTGGAACAGGAAATTCCAGAACCGAACTGACCACCAAGCACAGCTGGTTCCGCCTAGATCCGTGTTTTCTGTTCGGTTTGACTCTTTAAGGATGTCTGACATTAATCCTGGAGACTCGAAGGTGAAAAAATGGAGCTGACGTAGACATGCCTGTTGTGATTTAACCGTTAATTGGCTTCTAGATGGCGCTGGAAGCTGATTGGACGCTGCGGGAGGTCGAGTCACATATTTATGACCTGATGAAACTTATCAGAAGGAAACGATTTGGGTTCAAAGGTAAAAAAACCGGAGCAATTTAAGAGAAATGAGTCTGGCGTCACTCCTGGGTGCTGGTAACCCACCTGCTGAAGGTGAGCTGCTGCTGCTGGGCGTGGCTTCCTGTCATGGACCAGCAGCCATGCTGCTTCCTGCTTCCTGGTCCAGCTTCAGCGGATGGGGCTCTGATTAAGGACAGATGCTGACTGTCCTCCAGCTGCTGAGTCAGGAGAAGCTTGGAGGAATGTGGCTGATGGTCCAGAGGGAGGATCAGACATCTCTGGAGGGAAGGATCCATCCATCCATGTGCTTCCAATGGTTCTCCAGGCTCTCTGAAGCAAAGCCTGGAGTGATGTCAAGATTTAACAAAAGTTCAGAGTATTTCCCCAATAATTAAAAACAAGAATATGCTTTTTATTCAGTGTAGAGAATCAATAATTCTGCATAGCATTTTCTGTTTGCAGCATATAACACATGGTGCACTATAATGAAGTCCCCTGTAGCTCAGATTAGGAGTACTGTGGGTCTGGACTGTTTCAGGACATGATTTGTTCTACTAAATAAATATTCATTCTGTTTCTTAATTTATTTGCATTAAAATCTGTCTGTTTTCATGTAAATTAGAATTATGGCAGCTTGATTTAAAACAGCTGGTTAGTATTTTTGTAGTACGGTGCATTTATGATTTTGTTTCCCGTCATCGAAGCAACTCTCTGGCTCTGAAGTGTCCTTGAGGATGCAGGTGGCCACGCCTCCCTCGTTTGTGATAAAGGAAAGAACTCTTAAGAAATTCAACCCTGACTCGGCAGGATTTAACCCTCAGAATAAATCCAACCACTCTAATTTTAAGAGTTTGTTTGGTTGTAGTTGCTTCACTTTGGGTCCTTCTGTGTTTAGGTCTCTTTATTTACAAACACAAACGTCTCGGGATCAACATGAAGGCAGAGGGAATTTTACAGCCAAGACAGAAAGATTCGGATCAACTTGAAGTTTTTATTGTGGTTTTCAGACAAAAGTTCTGACTGACGCTACCGTCTGTTTTTCAGCGAGCGACTTTGGCTGATAGAAGATGTGGAAAGCTGCTGCAGGTCAGAATATCAAGGTGGCCGTGGATGACGGAGGAGAGGACTGGGAGACCGACCCCGACTTTGAGGTTCCTGGTTCTTTTTCGTCTCCTTCTACTCTTCGTTCTCTCTCCTCTACAGTTTTGTTTATTTTTTTTCCCCTGTATGTTTATGGTTTTATTTTTGGAATTTCTTCAGAATGACGTGTCGGAGAAGGAGCAGCGCTGGGGTGCGAAGACGGTGGCCGGATCAGGACATCAGGAGCACATTGAGTGAGGAAGCAGCTCTTTTTTTTTTCTTTTTCTTCCCCATGCATCATGTCCTAACCGCGTCCCTCCCTGCACCGCAGCATCCACCGGCTGCGTGAGACCGTGTCCACAGAGCACACCAGCCTGAAGCAGAAGGAGCTGGAGAACATGCCCAAGGCCTCGCACGGATACGGAGGGAAGTTTGGCGTGCAGCAGGACCGTATGGACAAGGTAGGAGACGGACGAGGCGCTCTTTTATTCCCTGCTGCTTAATATTTCCTGTTTGTTAAAAATTTCGAAGTGTTTTGATAAAACCAGATTAACTGGTAGAAAACTGGCAGCCGACCAAACGTCACAGATCCGAACCCGCTGCCTGATTCTGAGTCAAAACAATCATCCAGCAGCATCATTTGTGACTCTGAGCTGCTGGTCGGTTCTGGTACCATTTCCTGGACCTCCACAGCTTTCTGTCTGTGTTCACCGCAGCATGAATGTGATGAGCGAGCTTTGTTTACATCACAGGGGGGGTTGCTTGATCTCTCTCTGCAGTTCACTTCTCTTTATCCACTTCAGCTACGTGCAGCTAAAGGTTTCAGTCTCCACTCGACCCTTCCTCATTAACTCCTACTGTCCACACCTATTGATCTATTACTGCTACGTACCAAAGAGGGAAACGGGAAATTTTATGGTTCTGATATTAATTTTATGTCTTTTATGTTTTTTTATTTACGTCTTTTTAATGTTTTTATGTAGTTTCATTGTACAGAGCTTTGGTCCTTTTAAATTTCTTTATAAATAGCGTTGGATTGGATCCTCATGGGTGAAAGACGCTCTGAAAACATTTTTTCTCACAGAACCGGTCCATGAATCCGCCCAGAACCGTCAGGTTCGGACCTCTGACCCACTGCTGGATAAACTCGGCTGCTTCTGGTCTGATTTGACTTTTTAAAATGGACTGATGGATCTTCTCTGCTTTTCTCTTCAGTCTGCTGTGGGTCACGACTACCAGAGCAAGCTGTCCAAGCACTGCTCCCAGACGGACACCGCCAAGGGGTTCGGAGGGAAGTTTGGAGTTCAGGCCGACCGGGTGGACAAGGTGCTTCTTCCTGCTGCTCCTTGGTTACATCTGTGATCTAAATTTGCAGTAGAGCTTCTAAACCTTAGAGTCATCAGAGAGGGAGCAGGTCAAAGTTCACATTAGGGCTGAAACAATCAATTATTGAAATAATCAACTAATTTAGTCATTTATTAATCGTTAACTGGAGTGTAGAGATTGTAAAAAATGCCTTTAGCTGACAGAGTGACTCACTTAGAGCAGGAATTACACCAAGTTTGCAAAAATATATAAACATTTTGCAGTGTTTATGTGTATATATTTTTTTTTATATAAACAATGCAAATGATCAGACATCTTTATAAATCTGCTGGAAAATGGGTTTTAAATCCTTTAGTCTTCGATTGGATCGTCTCCATGGAGACTAAACTCTGCTACAATCACGGTTCTCTCTTTCCTTTCCAGTCGGCTGTCGGCTTCGAGTACGCTGGGAAGACGGAGAAACACGCCTCGCAGAAAGGTTTGTTCAAACAAGTCGTCTGATTTCCTCACAGAAATTCCAGGAATGGAGATCAGCTCAGCTGAAGGAGAAACGCTCTGTGAAGGACAGAATGTTTTACATCCCGGAGTTAAAATGAACTGTGATGATGTAGCTTCACCTTGACCTCTGACCCTCTCTGCTCTGCAGACTACACCACCGGGTTCGGGGGCCGGTACGGCGTGCAGGCGGACCGCGTGGACCAGAGCGCCGTGGGGTTCGACTACCAGGGCAAAACGGAGAAACACGAGTCGCAGAAAGGTTTGTGCTCCGCCACAGGGACAACCAGCAGACGTACGGGGAAATGTAGCGGCATCCCTCTGGTTAGGAGCCTTATAGTGATGAGCTGGGCAGAGAAATTATGCCATGATCCTCAGTTGATCCCAGTCCCACAGCATGATGCTGCCACCATGTTCTGCTGCTACGATATTGATTTCATTTGTCACAAACCAGGAAGTGAAATAAGAATCTCTGAGCAAAGCAGCATCCTCAGTTTGCTACACAGCAAACGGCTTGCAGCAAACAGTTCCATCATTAGTCACTTCTACAACAATCCTGAACCAAAGGTGCTGAATCTCTCCTCAGCAGCTGTTGTTCACATCTTGTTCTGAGCTGTCACTGATTCACAAGCATCTGGAAGTTTCAGGAAGTTCTAGGAACCTTCAAAATCAGAGCAGATGTTCATGGTCTAACAGTTTGGATGTCAGCTTGTATTTCTGTATGTTTGTCTGCAGATTACGCAAAAGGCTTTGGAGGAAAGTTTGGTGTGGAGACGGACAAGGTGGACAAGAGCGCTGTGGGCTTCGAGTACCAGGGCAAAACGGAGCGGCACGAGTCGCAGAAAGGTCTGTAGAGTTTAAACCGGAAGCGGCTCGTTCCAATGGGTAGCGTTGGATTGAAGAGGTTTTTATCCATCAGAAGGTTTTTGAACTTTTCTGGGTTTTTCCTGGCTTGGTGGAATCTGCTCCTTCAGGCTGAGTTGGATAAAATGTTGACTTTGGTACCGAACAGAAACTGACACGTTTAAAGATTCCAGGCTGTGGATTTGTCTGCAGGGCCTGACGGAGCCACACCCTCATTTCTGCCCAGACTCGTCTGCACTGCGTGTTTTTCAACCTGCAGCTTCTTGCACAACATGCCTTTCTGAGCGGCTGCAGAACCGCCAACAGCTGGAGATAAGAGACGGTTTGCATGAGCGATAACTGGGTCACGGGATCTGATAACAGGACCGGTTTTGTGAGCCATGCTGCAGACAGCAGAACTGCTCATGATGTTTAATTTGGGTCACTGTTACAGGTTCTGATGGGCAGAACCCTGGCTGACCCACTTGCATTCGCAACAGGTTGACTGTTGGTCATATTCATTTAGCTTTAGTTATCGTCCATTTCTCTACGCCTGCTGGTTATGTGGTCAAATGTCTCTGAGATCCTAAACGAGCTTCTTCTGACGGATCTTTGGTTTTAGATTTCCAGGGACATACCTTTGGTCCAAACCAGCATCCCAGGAGCTCTGGTCCCTAAACAATCCTAACTGGTTTTAGTGTCAACCATTGATGCTTTTCTCTTCTGATCATTGAACGTAGAACTGGTTCTGATCGGATCCAGACTGAATTCTGGCTTCACTCTCCTAAAGAAGGAGAGCTGATAAAATCAGCTAGGAACCAGGAACTGCAGCTGTTGGCAGCTCGCTGTAAAACATGGAATATATATAAATATTCCTGCTTTTTTTAATAAATTTTTTATTTTAAGGCATTTTAGCCTTTAGGTATAATTTTGACCCTTTTTAGGTGGAAGAAAATCACTGGTTGTAAAATTATTAGACCCTGTAAAAGAGTTTGGGTCTAAATAAAGAAATTTTTTTTTTTATTATTTTTTGGGTTCGGGTTGCTGTCCTGCAGGTTTTAGAGGTTTCGCTGCTTTAGCTCAGCTCATTCTGATGATTGAAGTTCAGCAAAAGCCCCTCAAAAAAAAAGTTTTGAACTGTAGATTTACAGTCATTTTTAAAAAAAGATTAAATTGTCCAGTGAGCTGTTTCCAGGCAAAATTTCTTTTTTTTACACGTGTAAACAAAATGACAAATGAAATCGGTCCAAATTCGAAGTCTAAAGTTAATCAACTATCGATGTGAATCAGCTGTGATGGAGGAGGGAAACCTCTAAAACCTCCAGGACCGACTTTGGGGATGACAGATGTAACCTTCTCAGTAAAACAGTTAAACTAAATCAGCTGTAGGGCTGCTCATCAGCTCCACTAAGAAGAGCTCTGATTATTGTGGAGATCTAGTAGCGGTGGAACGGTTCACAAAATCCACGGTTCGGTTCGGTTCACGGTTTCGTGGTCACGGTGTTCAGTTCAGTATATGTTGATTGATACACTGAAATCCCATAGAAATTAATGAAAAAATCCAAAAAAATTAATGGATTGTAATTATTTTTAATGATCCGCAGAAACCCTGGATCATTTCCGCATGTTTTGCTGCTTTGAATTTAATCATCTGGCGCATGCCCTCTACGATCTCCAAGGAACTCAGAGCGGAGTGGACGGGAGCCACAGTGGAGGCTGTAGGCTTTGCTTTGAGCAGGCGGTCTGGAGCGCAGCGGAGCGGAGCGCTGACGGAGTATGAGGGATTTCGGGGTTAGCATGACATGTTGGTCGTGTTGCTGTTAGCATAAACAAACGTGTTGCACAATGCTTGCACACTGTTGCACTTTTATCCACAGCTTTCTTTCCGCCGTCATCGTAGCTCACTCTAAATGCAAAGTGGTCCCATACAGCAGACCTATAAAGTGCTGCTGGCGCGTCTTCCAACTCCTGTTCTTTCCAACTCGCCATACCCACACAATTCTCCACAACAACTGATTTTTTTCTGCTACACCCGGCTACGCTGCTTCGTTTCTTCTTCTTGTTTACTACTGGTGGTTGGCTTTGGTCGCAGTACCGCCACCTTCTGCTCTGGAGTGTAAACGCTTCACCTATGAGAAAAAGGGGCAGCGCTTGAACTGAACGAAACACACGCAAACTGAACCGAGACAGTCGAACCGAACGGTTCGCATGGTTTTCATAAACCGTTCCATTCCTAAGATCTAGATTCTTTGATCTATGGTTTAATAATAAATCCAAGTATATTCATGTCAGATCAGCCTGAGTCGGAGCGACTGAACACTTTTCTCTTCTGCAGACTACGTGAAAGGCTTTGGCGGGAAGTTTGGAGTTCAGACGGATCGGCAGGATAAGTCTGCGCTAGGATGGGACCACCAGGAGAAGCTGCAGCTCCATGAGTCCCAAAAAGGTACAGACTGATCGGGGGGGGGGGTCTAAGCTTCTAGGATCAGTTTCGGAGATGTTAATGGTTTCAGGTTCCCCAGGATAAGGCCAGTTCCTTTCACGTCTTTGTTCCCTTCCATCTCTGATGTGGTTTTTACAATCCTTTTTTTAAGCAGGTCAACAACTTCCTCATGCAAAAAGGGGAAGAGAAACCGCAGCTGTGATTTAGATTTGCATGTCGGTGCTGCGGATAGCTCTGTGGCAGCTTACAGGGAGAAAAACAGAACATCTCACTTTGTAGCCAAATCTGTCGGCTCTTTGTTCACCCCTCGGTTTCTCTGAGCAGCTGTTCTTATAAATGTGATAAACTCAGGAGAACACAGAAGCTGCTGTTTGTGGGACGTTGATGTCGGGGAGCAGACCTGTGGTTTGGTTTATTCCCTGCTGAAGGCCTCAGCTTGCTCCGATGGAAGAACCAGCATGCACCTGGGCCTGAGTTTAGAGAAGTAAAACTTATTGTGAACATGTTTAAAGGCCTAAAGAAGACTAAGATGGACCTGTAAACCAGCTGGTTCTCTCTCCAGGGCAACGTTTCCTGATCGGGTTTGCAAAATAGTTTTGATCCCAAGTTAGAATCCAGCGGCTGCGTCCTCTGAAGGCCGATAACGTCATAGCGCGGCGCTGAGTCCTGTTCGGATGACAAGACTCCTCGTTATGCGGCCGACAGATGCATCCTTCTTTTTGCCCGTTTTGAAGGGCAGGTCAGCTGTATCCTCCGTAGCCTTGGGTATCCCAGAATTCATTGAGAGTCCAAGCAAGCTGGTTGCTCCATGCTTAGAGGAAAAAAGAAAATGGTGCCAAACAGTGGTGAATATTGAATTGCAGTTTAATATAATGCCAGTACAGTAAACCCTCGTTTATCGCGGGGGTTACGTTTCAAAAAGAACCGGCGATAGTTGAAATCCGTGAAGTAGAAACCTTTTTTTTTTTTACAGTTATTATACAATGAAATACTCCATACAACATTGAAATCAAGGAACAACAACTTTTTACAGGCCCAATCATTTGTTTAACAAATAAAAGTACGGTATAAACATTGTTAACTACTATACTGTACTGTAAAATAATATAGTTATCAATAAATAAGTAATAATTTTAATCATCAATACGAAATGAAGGGTTAATTTTGCAGGGATCAGCACCGCCCCGCCGTGACGGATTGGAGCAGGAGAAAATGAAAAATGATTATGAAAAAAAAATACAAAGTACAGTAGGACAAATAGTGACTGACGTGTTCAGTACAGTATTTCACTGATGTTTGACGGAGCTGCTGCATCCTGATTGCTCTGTGGCGTTTTTTTCTTCTAAAGCCTGCGGTGCAGGTATGTTTTTTGGAGAGAAGAACATAGTTATTGGTAGTTGTTGTCGCTCTTTTTTTCTTCTGGGCCAAAAGATCCTTATAAACCGACATGCCACCATTGATTATGTTCGACAATAAAGTTTAACAATGCATGATGCAAATCAGTGAAGCAGCGAGACCGTGAAAAGTGAACCGCGTTATGGTCAGATATGTGGCGGGTAATGTTTGGTTCATTGAAAGGTTTTATCTGTCCCTGTGTAAATGGGTAACAGTCTGCTGCACAGGGAGGCTGACATCAAGGCTCAGATTCTAATATCTCTGCAGTGTGGGGACTATAAATCTGATATCTGAGACGACAGTACTGCTGCTGAAGCTCCGCAGAAATGTTAACACCCAGAACAGTAGTGAGGCCTTCTGCATCCATTCTTTGCCTGCTTTGTGTTTCAACTATCACGGTTGCTAGGCAACATGGCGTATGGGCAGTGAAAGCCGGAGAAGTCTGGACCTGTTTGAATCCACAGCCAAACTCTTCCGGACTCCCGTCCAGGTTGACGGGGTCCTTGGAGGACGCAGCCTCTGATCTGAACGAGTCGGTTTGCCGTTTGGTTCTGGTCTTCATCCTGGGTGGGTTTTCAGGAGAACCGGTTCTGCTCAGAGTTCTGTCCCGTTTGTTCTTTTTCTATAGCGATAAATGGATCCAGAAACGGGGATAAACTTTGACCCGTCTGTTAAACCTGGAGGTTCTGCTTCCTGTCTGACGGTCCTGATGTCCTTGTCTCTGTGGGAGCGTCTGTCTGAGTTGTCTGTCTGTCTGTCTGTCTGTCCATGTGTGTTTCAGACTATAAGCGTGGGTTTGGCGGGCGGTATGGGGTAGAGGTGGAGAGGCAGGACCAGAGTGCTCTGGGCTATGAGCACAAGGAGAACCTGGCCAAGCACGAGTCCCAGAAAGGCACAGAGATATTCCTGATCCACAACTTCCTGTTTCCCTTCACCTGACTGGCTCCTCACTCTCAGACCCACCTGCTCTCCTTCAGCCGCAACACGCCCCCCACCTCTGCAGCACTGATGGACCAATGAGAAGCGTTGAACAATTCACTTCCTGTTTTCATTCCTGAAAGCAGGAATTCAGACGTGTTCAGCTGTTTCTCCTCATTTTCTGTTCAACTTCCTGGTTAGTTTTACTTCTGAGGAAAAAGTTTTCTTTCTGCTCCGTTTCTGATGATCCGGACTCCAGGATTAGCTAGTCTGGAAATGTCTGCTTTATTCCAGCAGTTTTTCCAGGTTTGGTGATTAGAAAAAAAAACAAAAAAAAAACACCTTTATTTCCAGGCTAAATTTTAATTTTAACAGATTAAATCAATGTATCCAGATCTCTATCTTTTTTTCGATGGTGAAACGTAGCAGTTTTACAAGCGGCACTGGATGCTTTTGTTGTGTTCCTGGTAGCTTTCACTAAGTAGACAAAGTTTTTTTTTTTTTCTCCAAAGTCTGGATAAATCTGGCTAACATCATCAGATTAGCTGCCTGATTGGAGCCAGAATTTAATTATCGGATAGAAAGAATCTAAAAAACCTTCAGAAGCTGATGGATCAGTGCTGTTCTGGTGTGAATGGATGGACCTGCTCTCCCCCTCCTCCCTCCCATAGATCCTCCCTCTCTAGATATAAACCTCACTCTCTACCGGATCATAAAGTTCTCAAAACGTCTTGCTGCATTGATTTATTTTTTCCGTCTGTCTGTCGATTTGGTGCATGTTGTTTGGTCACCGTGCACGCCCGCTTCCCGCTGCAGCCGTGCACGTAAAGGCTGCTTCCTCCTCAGCTCTGCATGAGCTACTCATTCAGAGCCAGGACGACTGGTTCTGATCGTCCTTGTTCTGATCGCCCCGGTTCTGATCGGACTGTTTCTTTTTTTCTCCAGATTATTCCAAAGGGTTCGGAGGGAAGTTTGGTGTCCAGAACGACCGCATGGACAAGGTAAGGCTCCAGCTTCTGTTAGTTTGTGGCGTCGTTCCAGAACACTTTCCTGACCCGTTTGTGTCGGACAGAGCGCTGGAACCTTTGAGGACGTGGAGAAGCCGAAGCCGTCCTACCAGAAAACCAAACCTGTAGAAGCTGGTGAGGCTTTATCTTCATTGTGGTCTTTATTTTTACTGGGATCTTTGAACTCACCGTGTCCCCCTGGTGTTCTGGAGCAGCGAGCAGCAGCACCGGCAGCATCAAAGCACGCTTCGAGAACATCGCCAAGCAGAAGGAGGAGGAGGACCGGCGGCGGGCCGAGGAGGAGCGGGCGCGCCGACAGGCCAAGGAGCAGCAGGAGCAGGAGGAGGCGCGGCGGAAGGCGGAGCGGCCTGCCTCTCCTGTCCACGCTCCGAGTCCGACTCCCCCAACTCAGCCTGAAGAGGAGTACCAGGTGGGTTCCGGTTCCACTGGGACTGGATGTGGACCAGCTTCTCCCACCATGAGCCACAGTTTAAGCTCCTTCTTCCTGGTTTCTCTTCTAGAACAATCAGGAAGTTCTAAGCGAAGCTGCTAGAGACTCAGAACCGGTCTACGAGAACACGGAGGACACCCAGGATGACTATGAACAACCAGATCTCTACCAGAACCCGGAGGAGCCCGCTGCAGCAGGTGGAGAATCTAAAACATGGCGATGTTCAGTCGGGCCGATCCGTTCGGTTCTTCTGGTCCTGATGAGTTTTGTTTTCTTACAGACGAGTACGGAGAGGACCTCGGGGTGACGGCTGTGGCTCTATACGACTACCAAGCAGGTGAGGCTGGAACAGAAACCCGATGCAGTCAGAACCAGCGGTTCCTGGCGCTCTGGGTCAGGGCGGGTTTTTGGTCATTTTCAGACCTGGTGATGTTTTTACGATCGAGAGGTTCCTGCTGGCCCGTTAGCAGTTCTTTAGAACTTTTTCATCTCTTCCAGTTCACTGGTTCTGGCCGGGCCCTCAGAAACGGGGGCTGTGAAGACGGTCCATCCACGGTTCCCAAACCTTCTTCCTTGTTTTTTTTTCTTTCCCTTCACCTTGATTTGAAGCGTCTGGTTCCGATAGAAAACCAGATGTTTAGGCTGGTTCTCCCTCCAGCTGGTCGGCTCTGGCAGAACCAAACTCTTGTTTCCAGAACTTTTATGGGTTCTACTGGCTCCGGTTTGACTCTGTTAAAGCTGCTTCTTTCAGTATTTCTGATGTTCACGTGTCGTTCCTCTTCCAGCCGGCGATGACGAGATCTCCTTTGACCCCGATGACATCATCACCAACATCGAGATGATCGATGAGGGCTGGTGGCGCGGCGTTTGCAGAGGCGCCTACGGCCTCTTCCCTGCCAACTACGTGGAGGTGCGGCAGTAACGGCGCTCCTCCTCACCTCATGTTAGAGCTTCGACGCTGCGCCGGCCCCTTGGTCTCCTCGCTTTCTTTCCCTCCCTCCATCGTCCCGTCAGATCCTACTTCCTGTGCAGCAGCAGACAGGAGGAGCAGCTTCCTCCGCCTTAGAAGCAGATAGATGCAGCAGGTCGCTTAACTTTTACTCCCTGAAGATGCAGATTAATCAGGATGAGTTTGGAAATGAATTTAGTCTGAGTAGAAACTGGCTGAACAACAGGAGGGGCCGGAGGCAGCTGTCTGTAGCTCCACCCTTAACTTCTGATCATGGACCAAAATCTGTTTCTCCATGTTGGACCAGAGGTCCGACTCCCTCCTGACTGAAGCTGCACCTGATGATTCATTTTAAGCTTTGTCAGATGGTATTATTGCCTCTAAACGATCGTGGGAGGGGGAGCTAACCCTTCCCTCCTTCCTTCAGAGTATTATGGATGCCCCGTTTGGAATCATGTCCCGGTAAATCTGTTCCTGTCGCCGTTCTTCTCTTAAACGTTGAAACATTTTGATTGAGCTGCTCTGAATGTTGTTTTTCTGTCTTAATGTTTCTTCACCACCAGGGGGCGTCTGTTGACCTCAGAGGTGATTGACCTTTAAAAACAGCGATGGCGGCTAAACAGGCTCATTTTTAATAATTCATCTCTGGGTTTTATAATAAGTGACCTTTTCAAATGGATTATTTTTGTGTTTGTTTCAGTTACATCATAACCTGCTCGTTTATTTGTTGTTTTTTTTTCTTAAGTTTCAATAAATAAAGTATGAACATTTAACCCTGTTTGGCACCTTTTCTTATTCGTTAAGAGTCGGTTTCAGATGTTAAATCAAGGCAATATCTCAGGAGTTTCCTGCTGAGATTAGAGAAGTTCTTATTTAATTCACTTTAGCTTCCTTTTAAGCAGCTAGATTAAAAGCCTAAAACTAGTCGTCTTATAAAGCATGCCAGGATCCTCCTCTTTAAAATCACCGTCTCCTATTAATTCCCATGTATTTATTTATATATGAGAGAGAGAGATTTGAGTGCTCCGTTTTATTCATTCAGCCTTGGAGCTCTGAGGCCAGGACAACATGTCTGAGAGCGAGAGAGGGGACTGTTATTAGGGAGTGCTCCAGATTCTCGTAATATTTAGACTATCTCCAAACACTTTCTTTGTTTTGACTCTAAAAAAGCCCTCAGCATCTCCACCTTTGGTTTTATCAAACCATTGTTGAAAAAGAGAAGTTTGGATAAATTGGTCCTTCAGAACTACAGACCCATATTAAACCTTCATCCAGGGGCGTCTCTAGGTTTAAGGGACAAGGGTGGCTCAGCCCCTAGAAGATATTGCGCACGCATAGCGCGCGCCGAAATTTTTTCAGTGCACCTGCTAAGGCGTTGTCTAAGACAAGGGTGTAACTTTGTGTTGAAAGTTGTTGGGGACGGCTCATAAGGAAAGGGAGCTACCTGCGCGACGCCTTTTTTTTTTTGTTGGAAAGGATAAAGCCAAAAAAATGCGAATAACATTTATCAATTTAATGCTTACAGTTGAAAACATAACTGTTACAATATTCACTTATATATTTTGTGCAAAAAATATCACATAAATCTAAACGGACTGTACAAATCAAAGAAATCAAATAAATATATCAATTTTGTAGAACATTTATTAACGGTCAATTTTGGGTCACTTTTTTAAATTAATTTACTTTTAAACCAGGACTCGGACAAGATCTTATGGGGCCTTAAGCAGAATATGATTAAGCAACTTCGTCTTTCTGTCAAGAACATCCACCAGCAGGGTATCCAGGGGGGGATTTACCATTAGGCAATACTAGGCAGTTGCCTAGGGCCCCAAGTTCCTGGGGGCCCCATAAAACGCTGTTTCCATGTATGGTTAATACAACTAATCCTTATTTGTGCACATTAATTATGTTTTTGATAAAAATCCTTTGGCTAAAATGCCATCAGAACGCTGATAAATAGAGAGGAAAAAGGGACAAGAAGAGAGGGACAAAACCTAGAACAAATAATGGATGTCTATTCTATTAACATTTCTCTATCTGTAGAATGGGTCTGTTTTATGGGTTTACTTCTCAGGGGGCCCCCTGCCTGTCTTTGCCTAGGGCCCCAAATTTCCTAAATCCGCCCCTGAGGGTATCAATACTGATTTGATAGAATCTGGGAGAGCGGACTATGTTCAACCATCCATTTTCTTTAACCTTATCCCTCAGTGGGATCAGGAGGTGCTGGTGCATATCTCTAGCCACGTTCTGGGTGAGAGGTGGGATCACCCTGGACAGGTCACCAGTCTGTCGCAGTATGTTCAACCAGCTTAAAAGTAATCGGTAATCAGATTTATTATTTGCACTTTTACTAAGTGAACTTTCTAACTCCCTTAAATCTGAAATTCCAATGCCAAAATTGTTTAAATCTTTTATCTTTGGACCCCCTGCAGAGTGACGTCACACCTGCAAGATCCTATCCTTACCTTCCTGCTAGATTGCAAAAAGCAGCTTGCTCATGAGTTGTCAACTTAACACGCTAAATCTTAAATGTACATATAAAAGAAAAAGGGGCGCAGTGCTTGCTACTGAATGGCAACACTATCAAAGTCAGGAAAAAGTTTTAAGTAAAGCCGGGATTAAAACAGTAGCTACAAGAAGCTTCAAATAAAAGGTGTTCTTTATGTTCAACCTAAACACCAACTCCGATAGACCATCAGTAGAGCAGGTGTTTAAATTAATCAATCACTGCTGCGAAAGCTTATAGCAGTGAAAGCTAATATACCACAGCCATCACTTAATAAACGCAAAATAAACAACCCTCTAAAAACGGAAAACTGTAATGGACTGAAAGTCCTGTTTTTTATGTGGGAAATTATTTGCGTGTGTTTTAGTATAATTCTGATATATTGGCGCTGTTGTCTGTTTCTATGGCAACGATACTGAATGTAGTGTAGCTTAGAGACCTGCATGGGTCGAGTTTTACCAACCCGCACCCGCCCGAACCCGTTAGGATGACTACCGAACCCGACCCGTCACCCGCGGATATCTTCAATTCAAATCCGAACCCGACCCGTTGATATTTAACCCGCAACCCGACCCGTTAACACATCATAGGCTATTGTACGCTGCGCTGCACCCAGTGCACCCAAGCCTCTCCTGGCTAAAATTAGGTCTTAATATTTCCACAAGTCCCTCTCACCTGCAAGTCTGAGTCCACTGCTGTCCCTGAATGGGTTAGCATTTTTGGAGGGAAGCGACAGGTGTTATGGGGAGAGGGCGGAGGGGGGTGATGGGGAGAAAGCGAGAGGCAACAGATTCTTTTTTCTGAGTTTTTTGTCGGGGTTTGTGGACGGTGAGCAGCGGGGAGAACTTTTTTTATTTTCTTTCTGAGGAGCGGCATGAATGGGGTTTTAATCAGATATACACAGCACCGAAAGCAAAATACGTGTACAAAATATTGGTGGGGACTGTCCCCCTACCGGTCAAGATTGGTGGGGACATGTCCACACCAGTCCTTAAGGAAGTTACGCCTATGATTGTTCAGATTAACTTGTCTTCTTTATGGCTTTTATTCGGTGCTTTACTGCATTTGTTTTGGGAAAATATGAGGAAAAAATAAATACAGAAAAAAAAAAAAAATTTTTTTAAATCACAAAATAATTATAGGGTGGCTAATGCCAAAGAAAGGATGACTGAAGCCACCCTTAAATAGGTCTAACGACGCTTATGCCTTCATCAATAAGATAATTGAAAAAGTTGTGTTTCAACAATTAAATGCCTTCTTAATAATGACCAGCTGCTTTGATGTAAAATTTTCATGCCAACCACAGTACAGAGACCAGAGATGGGAAGTAACGAAGTACAAATACTTCGTTACTGTACTCAAGTAGATTTTTCTGGTATTTTTACTTTACTTTACTACTTATTTTTATGGCGACTTTTTACTTCTACTCCTTACATTTTTACACAAATATCTGTACTTTCTACTACTTACATTTTAAAAAATTGGCTCGTTACTTTAGTTTTAAATCATTTCAATGGAGTTACCGTTATTATTTTTCACGCCATCAATACCAAATTCAATCTAATTGGATGGGAATCTACGTTGCATTTGACGCACCACTACAAGATGAATCGACAGATTCGGCGGTATTCATTCGCAGCAAATCATTGCAGCTTGGTGGCGGTGGCGTTAGCATAGTAGCATGGACGAGGAGATGATTGAAAATGAACACAACGGAGATCTAGTCCTATTGGCGGACATCCATTTAAAATGTAGGCAACGGCATGAAAAAAGTGGTTTCTACTTTTACTTTTATACTTTAAGTAAATTTACAAGCCTGTACTTTGTTACTTTTACTTGAGTAAAGAAGTTTAATCAGTACTTCCACTTTTACCAGAGTATTTTTTAACACAAGTATCTGTACTTTTACTTAAGTACGGACAGTGAGTACTTTTGCCATCTCTGACAGAGACTGCTCTGATGAAGGTGTTCAAAAACATCCGTATAAACTCAGACTTTGGAAGAACCACAGTGCTGGTATTATCAGTGGTCAGTGCAGCATTTGATATTGTTGATCAGTGGATTTTATTAGAGCGTCTGGAAAACTGGGTCTGCTACATGACTGGACTGGTTTAAATCCTACCTGAAGGACAGGTGGGGTCCCTTAATGCTCCATTCTGGGGTTCCTCATAATCAATATCTACATGCTTCCCTTGAGTCAAACAACGACATCAGCTACCATAACTATGCTTTACATCACAATGTCACCAGGTGACTAAGAACCCATCAGAGTGTTGGTTAGATGCTTAGAACAGATAAATATGTGGATGCACCATCATTTTCTACAACCGAATAAAAACCAAACTGAGGTAATAATCTTTGGACCAAAGGAGGAGAGATCCAGAGTTAGCTCAAAGCTTCAGCTACTACAGCTAGACTCCACTGATTATGGCTGAAATGTTGGTGTCTGATGGACTCAGACCTGAACCTCCAGAGGCTCGCAAAGGCAGATACTAAGTGTCTTCATAGGTTTGCTTAAAAAGTCCATCAGACAGCTGCAGCTGATCCAAAACGCTGCTGCCTATGTTCTCACTAGAACTAAGAAAGTAGAGCACATCAGGTCGGTTCTGAAGTCCTTCCACTGACTCCCTGTAGCTCAGAGAATAGACTTTAAAATCCTTCTGTTAGTCTAGAAATCACTGAATAGATCAGAACCTCAATCCATAACAGATCTATTGTCAGTGGATCAACCTCCCAGACTGCTCAGGTCTTCTAGTTCCAGCCTACTCTGTTCACCCAGAACTAGAACCAAACAAGGAGAAGCAGCATTAAGTTCCTATGCACCACTAATCTGGAACTAAATCCCAGAAGACTGGTTGACTGTTGCCTTTTGTATTTCCGCTTCTTTTTCTGTCCGCTTCTGTCTCCATGAACCCCAGTCGGCCTCAGCAGACGTTCAGGAAACGTAACAAAAGCTTGTCGAGCAAAACCACCTGAAAGGATTCATGAGGGGAAAACAGGATTTTGAAAATGAAAAAGCAAAAATTGACAGATCAAGGAAATTCAAGAAATGGGTGTCCAGGGCAAAAATTATAATAATACATTAATTGGTACTAGTACTAAAAGAACAATATGAAAAAGCTTAACAAGATCCCCTTTGTTACTCTCTTATCTCAGCCAACTAGAAGATCTATGCAGCTGAGAGGAAACAAGGATTTTAAACCATTAAGACCTTTTACACTCCATTTACACTTATTTTGTTTCTAATCCCCATTTTGATCACCTTTTTG